CAAATACAGAAAAGTACAAACAAACAATGCCAAAATGATCAAATCATGCAACAGTTAACACTTTAACTTACTAAAGCTGTTTTCTTAATTCTGTAGGTTTTGTTGACAGATCTGATATCTAAATCACAGAATTAACATAAAATGATAAAAGGAAAATATCTTGGAAATGTGTTATAGCCAGTAAGTCAGAACTGAGGGATTAACAATGCTTAACAAGAAATGTACTTATTACCTTACTCATATAGATGTAACCTTTCTGTATAGTATCTTTACAATAAAATAAAATTTAAAAAAACACATAGTACATTTTAATATGTTAAAAACAATATCAAGAAAGAAAAAAAAACCCACTTGTATCCCTATCTTGGGGTTCATTTCACTTAACATCATCTTATATAGTTATATGTACATAGCTTTTGACCTTTTCTGCTTGTCCTAGACTTATAGTAGTCATTGCAAATAAGGGAAACCATGGGACCTACGTTTCTTTGGGCCTGGCTTACTTCACTTAATATCATTTTTTCCAAGTCTTTCCAGTTCCTAACAAATGGGGCAATGTCATTCTTTCTGATGGAGGCATAGAATTCCATTGTGTATATATACCACATTTTCTTGATCCATTCATCTACTGAGGGGCATCTGGGTTGGTTCCATATCTTAGCCATGGTAAATAATGCTGCTATAAACATAGTTGTGCTGGTAGTTTGTATGGCCTTGTTTGTGATCGTTTGGGTAAATGCCCAGAAGTGGGATTGCTGGGTCCTATGGGTTCTCTATGTGTAGTCTTTTCAGGAACCTCCATACTGCTTTCCAGAGTGGTAGAACAAGTTGACACTCCCACCAGCAATGCAGGGTTTGCTTTTGGCCACATCCCCTCCAGCATCTGTTGTTATTAGATTTCTTGATTATATGTTGTGAAGTGTAATCTCAATGTTGTTTTGATTTGCATTTCTTTTATGGCTAGAAAGCTCGAGCATTTCTTCATGTGTCTATTGGCCATTTTTATTTCCTCTTCAGAGAAGTTTTTCTTTAAGTCTTTGGCCCACTTATTCATCAGGCATTTGTTTCTTTTTTTTTTAATTGTGAAAATACCATTCAGAGGGGTTACAATTACATGAGCAAGGTAATGAGCACATTTTTTATCAAGCATTGTTGCCTCCTCCTTGGTTTCCCCTTACCAATTCGTTGTTAGGGGATTTAATTTTTTGAGTTCTAAGTATATTTAAGATATGAGACCCTTGTCCATTGTATGGTTAGTGAAGATCTCCCAATTCATGGGTTTTCTATTGATCTTGCTAGCTATGTCCTTTGCCATGCAGAAACGCTGCAATTTCATGCAATCCCATTTGTTCAACCTTTCTTTGATTTTTTGTTGCTGGGTCTCTATTAAGAAAATTTCAGCCTGTGCCAAAGAGCCCTATATTTTCTTCTATTCCTTCCTGTAATGTTTTCAGGGTGTCTGTTTTGACATTGAGGTTTTTTGATCCATTTGGAGTTGATTCTGGTGCAGGGTGATACAGCTTTCTTTTCTACAGTTGAGGAAACAACCTTTCTATTCACCATAATTTACATTCTTTTTGATATTACTTACTTATTTTGCTCTTATGTTTTGGTAGATATAGGTGATATGCATGGGATTTGTAGTTTTGTGTTCATGTTATTAAAGGAATACAAAGTCCACTAGAATGTTGTAAACTCTGTATGTGTATGTGTGTGTGTGTGTGTGTGTGTGTGTGTGTGTGTGTGTGTGTTGGTGCTAAGGCTCAAACACTCTTGCTAATACTTGGTGCTCTACCATCTGACCTATGCATCCACTCTGCAATTTTGCTGGCTTTTTGGTGATGGAGTCTTGAGAATTATTCTTTTGTCTAAGCTGGCTTTGAAACAAGATCCTTTAGAGTCAGCCTTATAAATAGGTAGAATTGCAGTTGCAAACTGGCAGCCTGACAAACTCTAGCTCTTGAAGTAGTTGGAAAAGCTGGTGAAAATTATTGAAGGGAACTGTGGAAGTGTTAAGCAATGACTTTTTCCTTTGGCTTTTGGTCAGCTCTGTAGTGTTAAGAGAAAGTGTGGATATGAGAACAGAGCCATTGATGTAAATGCCTTTCGTTTATTGATAGAATCCTTTGCCTGAAGTTCTATTGCCAAGATTTTAAGTAATTTTAAACATTTTGAGTCAATCACAGAAAAATTGCAAATATAATGTGAAGGTAATTAGTCTTATCTGAATCATATGAAAGTTAGTTGTAGGCAGGCACTTGTGGCTTATGACTGTAACCTTAAATACCCAGGAGATTGTACTATGGAGAATTATGATTCAAGGCCGGCCCAGACAGAAAAGTTCTCTAGTTTTCACCACTAGAAGAACTCTAAAATAACTTTTAAAAAACTGTGCTGGAGTTGAGGCTCAATCGGTAATGCACCAGCTGTAAGCAAGGAAGCCAATAAGTACAAGACTCCAAATTCAGACTCCATTACTGTTCTTCCACACATACACCCTCAATAGAAGCATGTTACTGAACTGAGCTGGATTGGGCATGGTAATGCATGCCTCTAATTTCAGCTACTTAAGAGTCCAGCTCACATGACATCACACACCCGTAATCCTAGTTATCCAGGAAGCAGGGTAGGGGAATCACAGTGTAAAAGCAAAAGATAGAGCAGCTCAAGTGTTAAAGTGCTTGCCTAATAAGAGCTGGGATTTGAGTCCAATCCTGAGTATCACCAAAAAGAAGATTACATAGCCAACAAGAAGTCTATCTATTCTGAAAACTTTATTGTGTATTTACTACAAAGAAAGAGAGTCTGATTCATCGCTGCAATATAACCATGAAAGTCACAATATTCACATTCATGTATTGCTCTGGTCAAGTTCTCTGAGAGTCCATTCAAGTTACACCAAGTGCCCCACTTGGTCAATGTGACCCACAGTGTGTGACACAATCACACATGTTTTCAGCTGCTGTCTCTTTACTCTGCTTCAATCTAGAATTCTTCAGTCTGCCGTTAACATCCCGACCTGGGAAGCATTGACAATTGCAGACAGAAAATTGGGCCTCAAGGGTGGATCTGCCCTCTGCTCACAGATGGCCCATCTTGGAAGCAATGCTGTGCTCTGTCATGATGTTCTACCCCAGCATGCACGGCTGCTTGTCCTAGCCAGCATGCCCACCTGTTACTGGATAGCCTGCCTTCTCTACAGTCCAAGTACTTTTTCCTCTGGGTGAGTGAGAATTTTGCAGCAAGTACTTGGAGGTAATGTATAGATCTGATTGCTTTTTAACCTGTCAGCTTTCTTAGTTGCATCAGAATGCAGATGTTTTCCAGTATTATTGAAAGGATCATGCATAGCTCATTACTTCCGTTATTTTATTAGCATACACCAACAATATAGTGTGTGTGTGTGTGTGTGTGTGTGTGTGTGTGTGTGTGTGTGTGTGTGTGTGTGTGCTGGTCCTGGGCCTTGAACTCAGGACCTGGGCCTTGAGATTTTATTTTTTGCTCAAGGCTAGTGCTCTTCCACTTGAGCCACAGCTCCATTTACCAGTTTTTGTTCTGTTTATTTTTATTTTGTTTGTTTTATGATTCATTGGAGATTAGGGTCTCATGGGCTTTCCTGCTTGGATCTTAGTCTCCTGAGTAGCTAGGATGCTAAGTTTACAGATGTGAACATTTTTCCCAAATGTTTACTTCCTTCAAGCAGGTTTCTGGGTCTTTGCCATGTTCCTACTGTCATTTTGGGAATTCCTTTGCATTCTGCAAGATAAAATGATCGGGCTTTGCTTTTGCTTGTCCTGAAATCAGCTCATCGGTTGAAAATCCAACATCTGGGAGCCAGGTCTGCTCACTGCTAGGGAGGTGTCCCAGCTCCCAGGCCTGTCACACAGCACACACATGTCCACCCACATACTCACACACCCCTTTGCGCCTCTAAATGAATACACTAGCAAAGCTGCATTAGACAAGGAGCCAATGTTACTTCAATGAGAAAGCAAAAGCAGGTGAGCAGTGGGAAAACAGAGTCCTACCCTGTCCTGGCTTGAAAACCAGGTATCATTCCATTGCTCAACCAGTCCATGGCACAGGCCATGATGAATTGTGACAAAAGCCACAAGGTCAAGGGTAGAGGACCCTAACCTGATTCAGACACTAACTCCAATATTTCTGCATAAGTTTCTTTGCCTCTCTGTATGTGTTACTTTACAGGAATATTTGGAAGGAAAAATGCAACAATATTAAGCGACTTGTGAACAAATACCACTCATTTTCTACACCTTCTGCATTGAGGGGAGCACACAGTCTCCCACCCCCTTTTCTTGCACACACTTGGGGCTACAGGTGTGGGTCTCTGTGTTTTCTCTGACCAGATCTGACTCCCTCTGCTCACCGCGACTCCCTGTCATCTTCATGTGTTTTCACCACACACCTCCAGCATTTTCTATCTTTTTCTCCTTCAATTTTCTGCTCAGCACTTACCACTTACCAACAAGTCATGTGTGGATCTGTTTTGCTTACCATCGGCCACCTCGACTGGTTAAAATGTGGACGTCAAGAGTGTGAATATTGTTTCTACCTGGTTGTTTCTACCTGGTGCTTCCCCCATGTCTCAGCAATGTTCCCTGGAAGCAACTGCTCTGTCTGGTGAACAGATGTCAGCCAAGTAAATGTTATATTAGAAACGTTTAGATAGTTTTTATACTTACTGAAGAAACACGCCCTGATTAAACAAAATACACATATTGTATATGTTGTTTTTACAAAAATAAACAAGCATGATTTCAATGTTTTCTAAGTTTCACATTTGAGTATAGCACTGTTTGTGTTGAAAAGCAGTGAATCTGGAAAGTCTCTCATAGCAACAATGTTCAAATGTTCAATGTTCATTCAAAGAGTAGGTCAGACATCTATGTTTATTTTTATATTGAAGTACTTTATTTCGTCTATATGTATGCATATATAAATAAAAATAGTGTTATTCCATGGCATGAATGAATCAATGGGAAACCTTACTTACTGAAATTCAACCATTAAATAATTTGAAAAGAAAACTACATCAAGACACAAGAGAAAGGAACAAGGAAGCTTGGTAAGAAATATTTAAAACTACAATTGATATCAGGAAATTCCTACTGGCAGTAACTGGTTACTAAATACAGTGCTATATGATTCACACCACTTATCAACCTCACCACTTGTAACAGCATTATTTCCATATGGATGAACAGCTGCAGATTTAGCCAATTTCTCAGGTTCAGTCCAATCTGTGCTTTTAAATCCAGTTGTCATGGAATTACAGGTAACCGTCAGCATTAGGAAAGGCTGATCTTCCCACACTCAGACTACGCCGTGGGTTTACTTAGAAACTCCTTGTTGAAAAATTTTCTTGCTTCCACATTACTGAGGGAAACAGAGCAACGAGATGGATTCTGTCTTCTGTACTCAATGCTTTCGATGATAGCATCTTTTATCACCTACAGATGAAGAGAAGATAATCAGCATCCCTGTGAACCTAAGACAGATAAAAGCCAACATCTAATGTATGTTTTCTCAGTGTATTCTTTTTGAAATACATTGAGAGAAATCTGGGTCATGCATATATTATACATATGAAATCGACATACCATGTTGTACTGTGATTAAACTCAAATCCAACAAGCTATCCTTCCTTCTTCTACTAAAGAAGAATTCTAGGATTGCTCCAGATGTTTTGGGGAGCAAAATTGTGAATAAAATTGTAGTATAGAAAATATGAGTCTGATCTATCTTTCACAAGGAAGGTGGAATATAGGTAGCTAGACCTACCCTACCGTTTATATCTTTTAGAGTAGACAAAAGGGATTGGAGACTACAGTGATTCCAGATGCCCCCTAGTGAGAGGAGAAAGCCTTGCTGAAGAAAGACACTCTGAGAAGTACAAGTTGTCATGTCAAAAACGAGCTTTACAACGTTGGTGCGGGGGTGGGGGGGAGGATTGGGGGGGGTAGAGGGGAGGCTGGGAAGGGATGTGAAGGGTAAAGAAAGGAGGAGGTTGCAATGCTTGATAAGAAATGTACGCATTATCCTGCCCATGTAATTGTAACCTCTCTGTACAGTATGTTCACAAAAAAATAAAATTAAATTAAAAAAGAACCCCCCCAAAAAAAAGAAATACACTCAATCACACAGTTACAGAATTTTAGCTAGGAAACACCTTATCCGTGACTTCACTGATAATAACACACTGCCATTTTTTGTTCAGAATAACCTTTATGTATCAGAATTCACAGTGAAAAGAAGAAAATAGAGGCAATGTCCTGTTAACCTAGCTGGGAATTATAGGAGACAAGAGAAAATTGTGCTACTTGGGCAGAACTGATAGTTCAGAGTAACAGAAACGAGCTTTGGAAGCAGGACCTGTTCAGTACATTGCTCTGCTCCTGCTCTAGAACCCAACTGACCTGAAGAAGACCTCGTTCCCCAGGGAAAGGGCTGCAAATGTCATCTTAACTATGAACCACATACCTGTCTCAGGGCACTAGAAACAAACACAAGTCATGGGGTGTTCCACAATATCTCCCACACTCTCCTCGAGGACATTATTAAGTCATTGTCCATGTGCTTCGGCCTCATGCTATTTAGAGAAACTCTTGGCAAGTTTGAGTTGCTTCAGATCCCCCTCAGGGCTCCTGTGGCCCATCCAGCCTTCGAGGCATGCGCAGAGGGCTTTTCTCAGTCCCACACACTCCCTAAGCAAGCGTGGTCCAAAAAGCCTGGAGGAGATCCTTGTGTGACCTCAGCGGCGCTCACACGTAATCTATGCTCTGTGAATTAATATCAGGCCCAGGCGGCAGAGGCCTCTCAGGGAAGGGAATGTCTGGCCGGTGGGCGGTATAAGGCCCATGAAATCATTTCATACGTGATGAACCAGACACGGATGCTCCTCCTGTGATCTCACGGGCTAGTCAGTGCTGTCTGTCTCTGTTAATAATTTTGTATGGCACAGGAATTACCTGATAAATACCTAAATATAAATAGCCTTTGCAATCATTCCTTTTATTAGGAAGTTAAAAAAAAAAGGTTGATCATCCCAGCAAGCCTTTTCTATTATAGAAAAGAGCAACTTGTGGGAGAAATATAATTCAGTTGCACACTTTTAAAAATAATATATCAGTTCACATCGTACTGATGATTCCTGTGGCACTATCCCTTGGTGAATGTGTGAGATCCAGGACAAGTAGCCTAAGCCCTTGATCTAATTTCTTCTGCTTTAAAATAGGAATGTTGTGGGTCAGGCACCTGTGGCTCATGCCTGTAATCCTAGTTATTCAAGAGGCTGAGATCTGTGGATCCCTGCTCAAAGCCAGCCCAAGCAGGAAAGTCCATGAGACTCTTATCTCTAACTCATCACCAAATAGCTTGAAATAGAGCTGTGGCTCAAGCCATTGAGCACCAGCCTCGAGCAAAAAAAGCAAGTGAGAGCAAGAGACTTTATGCTCAAGCTTTAGTACCAGCATGCAAATAAAAAATAGGATTCAGGGTGCATAAGTGTTAGAAATCACTTACATATAGTACTTTGGGCAATGTCTGGCACAGCTAGCATTTATTCATATTGTTACACCTAAGTTATTGGTGAGGAAAACTAGGAGCTGTAAGTTAGAAGTTAGGTGATAAGGTTTATAAAAAAATTTTAAATATAGTAAAGAATGATCTTTTTATACAATATAATTCAATAGCAATTCCACCATTCAAAGCGTCCTACTCTGTCTTCTTTTAGCAATTTGTCTTTCTAAAGACACAAGTTAGCATGCCCATCATGATTTCTGCTTTTGCTTATTAGCTGGAGAAATAACACGTCTTTTTGCAGAGAAGTTTCAAGGACACAACAAAATCAAAAACAAAAAAAAAACTTTTCAAGTACCTGAAAATCTAGATTAGAAAACGCCACAGCAGAAATATGTTAGATAATGGTGGCTGCCAGTTCCTCTATAATGAACTCATGAGAACAGAAACATTAATATCAATGTCACAGAATAGTGAATTTTTCCAAAAGTGGACCCTTGCTGTAAATAAGCCATTCTCAAAAAGGGAAAAGAACACTGATATTTATAATGTGAAGAAACCCAAACTCAATGCAGGTCTAATGTGCAACCACTAGGTGGCAGAGAAACACTGTCCTAGCAAATCATTAAACAGTTTTCAGTTTAAGGCTGAGAACATAACCCAGGTGGTGGGAGTCAATGCTGTAATATAACCGGAAGCTAAACTCACCACTATGTCAGCGGCTATATTTAAACCTTTTTGTCATGGAGCAAATAGATGTATCCAAAAAGGCAGTATGTCATCTTTCAATCTCAGATGTGCTGTTTATACCAAGATTAATCTTCAAATGCTTGTTTCTATTTCCTCTTTCATTCTCCTCTGAAACGCAGAGTCTAAAATACTTCCTGTTAGTGTGACAGGCAAGGCCTTATCTCTCAGCTTTTGCCATCCCTTCTGCCCATGTCAAAGTCTAACCCATGTTGTTGCTGAATTGTGTTATTCAAGGGGTCACAAATTGTTGAGCTAGGTCCCCTAATTCTTTCTCAATAAAGATAGAAATTTAAGAAAATCATTTTACAGAGTATATAAATATCTCTCTCCTTTCCTCTTCCCTTAGGAAAGAAATTTAATGAGGCACTGGTGGTTCATACCTGTTATTCTAACTACCTGAGAGGCTGAGAATGTTGAGATCAAAGTTCAAGACCAGCCCAGGAAGAAACGATTTATGAGATACCTTCTCACTGACCAGCTAAGCATTGGCCCACCAGTATTATTCTAGCTCCAGGAAAAATTAACATAGTTGAATCATTCCTGGGCAGGGAGCAAGACCCTATCTCAAAAATAATCAGCTGAAAATAAGGCTGGAAATGTTCTGCAATGGTTACCGAGCCTAAGTAGTAGACATAAGGACCAAAGGTGAATCCCAGTAGTATCAAACATAAAAAGAAAGATCAAATTTGGAGGTTTGTAGTCAATGTGTTTGTAGTCACAATAGAAAACAACCAAACCTAAAACAAGAGCCTAAGAGAAAGTTGGGGTATATTTTGAGAGAGAAGTAAATAGTTTCTGAATCTGCTAACACCGACTTCTGAATAAGAACTGAAATACAGGGGCTGGGAAGGTGGCTCAGTGGTAGAGCACTTGCCTTGCATGCATGAGGCCCTGGGTTCAATTCCTCAGCACCACATAAGCAAAAAGAAAAAGGCCGGAAGTGGCGCTATGGCTCAAGTGGCAGAGTGCTAGCCTTGAGCTGAAGAGCTGAGGGACAGCGCCCAGGCCCAGAGTTCAGGCCCCACGACCGGACCCAAAAAAAAAAAAAAAAAAAAGAACTGAAATACAGCCAGGCAGCTGTAACTCACACCTGTAGGTACTAGCTACCTAGGAGGATCTGAGTTCCAAAGGATGGTAGCGCAAGACCAAGGCAGGCAGAGAAGTCTGTAATTCTCCATTTCTAAAATAACTTGCAAAATGCCTGGCTGGAGGCTTTGCTCAAGTGGTAGAGCACAAGCTACAATTAACTACTGAGAAAATGTAGGAGAGGCTCCTTCTGAAAACAGATTATAGGTAGTGATCCCACTACAGGATAGGGAGATCACTTCTTTACGTAGGAGGAAGGATTACTGCTCAGAGAAGCGGAAAAGAATCCATATAACTAGGGCATTCTAAGTTTCCCAAATAACTGTTATTTATTTTGAGTGCCCATTCTGAGGCATGAACGCAGAGCCTAATTGCTGTACATTAGCTTTAGTTCTTATGGCCCATAGCTCTACTTCTGGCTCCTTAGTGGTGAATTGGAGGTAAGATTCACAGCCTTTCCTGTCTGGGTTGTCTTCAAACCACAATCCTCATCTCTCAGCCTCCTGAGTAGTTCAGATTACAGGCAGGAGCCACTGGTGTTTAGTTCAAATGAATTAATTCTATTTTTTTTCTATTTTATGCTTACTTGTCTTCTTATTAATTTAGGAGTGTTGATGCTGACTCAGATGATACACAGGAAAGGATTATTTCCTTCCATACATACCCAATAAAATAGGCCATGATACACTGTAACAAACTTCCAACTTATTTTTAGAAAGACAAGAACCTTGACTTGTAGCTAGATGCTCTTACCATGATGATGAATATGATTAAGTTAAGAACTAATGAACCCTAAGATAGAGACACAAAGGTTTTATCTTTGTTGCTATTCTTTTTAATGTACTTATAATGTACAATGTGATTTTTTTTGTTTCTTTGTATGTGCTTCCTCCATGATACAACTCCTGGTGTCACTGTGTTTGATTCCAGTGTCCTGCATCTTTATATAAATTTTTCTACTTTGGGGAGGGGAAGGGAAATAACAAAATGCTGAAATAAGGATATAGGATAACCCATTGTAACAATGAGATGTCCAAGACACTATGTTGAAAACAAACTTTGCAACTTTGCGGGGAGGGAAAGGAAAGCGGGGATCAAGAAATTGGGGAGGTGAGGAGGAAAGGGCTGGTATGGGGAAAATAAAGGAGAGTGTAATAATGCTCCATAGGAAATGGACTCATTACCTTGCTCATGTGACTGTAACCCCTCTGTACAGTATCTTTACAATAAAAATAAATAAAAAATTAAACAAAAATGTAGTAAGTTGTACTTTCCCTTATGTTAATTAAGATCTACTACTAAGTGCTTTGCAAAATTATTAGACAAATGTAAAGACTCAAACTTTATGTTTGTAAAGTAAAAATAATAGCGTCAGGGAATATGGCAGAATATACTTACAGCGTTCATTGATGGAATGAGACTGGAAAACAAAGCCTTTCACTGTCATAACAGAATCAGTACTAAGACTGTGTCCTGCCTCCAAAGTAAAGTATTGGTTTATGAACTGAGCTGTTCTCTCAGTTTATGAACTGAGATGTGAGCAACCTGGCCAGGAATACATTTTGTAGAGATTCCTTACGGTGGGGAACTCTGCATGTAACCAGCAGCACTTTGTACCTGACACTGGCTACTGAAGGTTAGTAGGGGGGTTGGTGAGGAGCATGAGTGAACATTTTACAAATGTTATGACTACACTGTATCTCCTCTTAGGGGACAGGCATTATTAGTATCTCTGGAGGATACAAAGTTGACAAGTCATTGCTTATACAGGTTTTGTAATTTATAATTAAAAGTAGAAGAAACTACAAACACTAATCATAATTACTGCCATTGCTATATTTGCTATTTCAATTTCCTGCATGTCTATTAAACACCATGCCCTTAAGTTATATTGTTTCACTTAAACTCCATTTGGATCCTGTAACATCTGAATCACTGTTTCCCCTTACACTTGAAGAAAGTGAAATTTGGAAGGTGCCGCCTATGTGTCAAAGATCACTCAGCTAAGAGGAAGCGAAGTGAGGATCTCAAGACCCAATTTGGTCTGATTCCAAGGCCTTTGCCTCCTCCACATACTGCCTGCCTACCAGAGCAAGCCTCTATACATCGGTCTAATAAGGAAGCCAAGGAAGCAGACTGAAATACCCTAATCTTGTCATGGTAAAGGCACGGAGGCCATGTTCAGTGCAAAGGAATTTGGGAGGGCTAAGTAAGAGCAGAAACCCAATGCTGAAACCCAGATTGCTGTCATGAAGTGAGCAAATACAGAACTGAAAACCTCTCAAGACGAAATGTAGCATGTACAAAAGTGGGTCAGCTAGGATGTCCTGGGAAAATGTGGCGAAAGGAGCACATAGCTGTTGGGGGCAGGGTGAAAGTTGTCTCAGATGAGAGTCAAATTGGAAGACGAATTGAAGAGGAGAAGCTGCCTTCAGCCACACACACTGGTAATGGACACCAAATGGGAATGGATCTTTGAAAGGATTGGCAGGCAAGCAACTGTACTTGCTGAGTTTATATCCCAGGGTCTGCCATCTTCAACCAACTCTGGCAGTTGTGTGTCATCGTACTGAAATTTACATCAGTATCTCCCTCCATCCAAATGGTGTTAGGATGGGATTTAAATCCTAACAACTGTCCTCCATGCTAATTTCAGCAAAATCGAATGGCTCTTTATATATGCATTATCACTTAGCAGGAAGCTTTGATAATGGCTAAAAAAATATTTTCCATTAAAGTGCACATGGGAGGTCACCGAGAGAGATAGAATGTAATCATTTAAAGCTTTATCTCTCTCACACACACACGCACACACACATATACACATACAGAGTGATCACTTGAATATGTATCTCCATGTTCATATAGTTTTAAGAGAAGGCCTACATTCATTCATTCATTCAAAAACCATTGACTTGCTGCCTAGTCAGCCATTACTTGTAGAAACTTGTCTACACCATGCATTCTATATAACTGCAAAGGTCTTGTCATGTAGACCTTTGCAGTTATATAGAATGCATGGTGTAGACCTCCTTTGGACCTCCAAGGATACAGGACGGACATGCTGCAAAGCTCAGATTCCCATCTTCTAGCGAGTTTCCACTTATAGGCCACTATTCATACATTACCTAATTATGTATTCACTACTGTCACTATGATTGGTCCCATGACATCTGTGTTAATGATGAGGAAACCAAAATTCCAAGGTGTGAGAAGCTTATTTGAAGTCATACATGTAACCCCTCTGGGCTCTCAAAATGATATATAACCCATGACCTAGCCTCTACATGCCATGCCAGAAATGGTAGCAGAAGCTCTTTAATAGTGCCTTCTTAATGGGTTGTGATGAATCAACATTGAATCTGCTATAAGTCAAGACATTTAGTTTGGAATTCAGTCTATTTTTGTTGGGGCTTTAACTTTAACTTTCACACTTATGTGTCAAACAAGCTACCTTGAAGAAGGCTTTGTACAATGTTTAACTGGAACTATATCACTTCTTACAGAAACTATTTGAACAGGTTTTATAAACCAGAACTGAAAAGAGCAAGAGAAATATAGTTGTTTAAGATGGAAATATATGTGTGTGTTTATTCTCAAGTCCAACAAGTTGTTTCTATAATCTAGCTCTTTCCATTTCAGGATGACCTATGATATTTAGTAAGTTTCATTCCAAGAAATATATGGAATACATTTTCACACTTCAAAGATAGACATTATAACTCCTTAGCTGACTTTGCTTTCTCCTAGTAAGGGACTTTATAAAACACAACTCTTTTGTGAACTTTTGTTGACTCGTTTCATAGGTTAATAGACTAATACACTAATTTTCTCTCTTAATATACTGTAAATTTTCACAGAAATAATGTAGCATGAAGCTTTCAAATATGCACTTATAAGCAATATAAATGAGGAATAAATATACTGAGAAAATCATATGCAGTATACATTAACTATGCTTTATATTCTTTGCAAAGGCAGGCTGAAAAGAATCTTAGTCACAGAACTTATTAGTAAAAAAATCATATATTTACAAAATAGAAGCCAAACACAACCCAGCTATAGTGACTGCACATGATTATCATGGATAATCTCAGGACAAATTGAACAGGCCAACAAACTTGATGTGCCAAAGTTCACTTAGCTCACAAATTTAATTAAATCCTACAGAAACAGAACCCTTAATACTGAGTTCTTTTGTGGCATTCATTTAGCCTACAAACACACTGACAAATTAAACATGATATCTTTCTGTACTTCATTTTTGTCCTTTATTCTTTTTTCTTTCAAATATACAAAATCCAAGTAAACCAATGAACTTGAGCTTTCACAACTGATCATCTTTTGTCAGAAATTATGATTTGGGACCAGAAGCTAATGATTTAATCACACGATTTTTCAGACTAAAGAATCTCACAGACACAGGTTCTAAGCAGCAGATTAATGATAGAAATAACTAATGCTGGGCTGGGAAGGTATCTCAGTGGTAGAGCACTTACCTTGCATGCCTGAAGCCCTGGGTTTGATTCCTCAGCACCACATAAGCAAAAAGAATAAAGCCGGAAGTGGCGCTGTGGCTCAAGTGGTAGAGCGCTAGCCTTGAGCTGAAGAGCTGAGTGACAGTGCTCAGGCCCCAGAGTTCAGGCCCTACAACCGGACCCCCCAAAAAAAGAAATAACTAATGCTGAAGATAAGAACTTCTTCCTAAGGTTTCTAAAGCAAACAACAGTACCTAAAAATAAGGAAGAGTTCATTTGGCAACATTACCAAGATACACACACACACACACACACACACACACACACTGCATGTAAAAGCATGAACACATTCACTAACAATCACATCATGAAATTTTTGCTGATTAACTAAACTTCCGGCTACACTCACTTTCTTGCTCTTCTATTTCCTTTACATCATTTCCCTCCTTGTTTATAATTTATTTTTATGCTAGAGATATCAGATATCATTTAAAATGTCTAGGCTTTGCCAATTTCGAGTCACATGCCTTGTAGATTCATAGGGTTCTTCTGGAGTTTATAAAATGATTTATGTATAAGAAGTGAAGTAGCACATTTTGGGTTGTTTCATATGTAAGTCTTAACTTTGTTTCAAAAGACACAGCTGCATCCATGGGCTCTGAAAGCAACCAAGGTATTATCATGCCATAACCGAAGATACTTACATCAATGTTGTTCAGGGTATTGAAGTGCATCAAGTCATGGAGCCTTTTGAACGCTTGATTTGGATATTGAAAGTTGAAAGTCGAAAATGGTGATTCGGGATCATCGAAAATGTCAAAATCAGCTATTTCTTTCTCTTCTTGGGTTTCTCTTGGAACACCTAAATAGCAGAAGTGTCATCCATGGTGTTATTTTGAAAATACAAGATATCCCTAAACCTCAGGGAATAAGAACTCAAATGGACATTGAAGACAGAAGGGCCACAGGACCTGTAATAACCCTGGAATTAGACTTGAACACGTTATATCTACTGACAGATGCTTTCCAGTTGTCAGTGTCTCTATCTCTGTGTCTCATGGACTTCCCCCTCCACCCCCTCTCTCTGTCTCTGTCTCTCTCTGTCTCTCTGTCTCTCTGTAGCATCACTCTGGAAATAAAGGTAAATAAATTGCTTGCATTAGCCCCAATCAACCAGACTCCATGCAGTTGTATATAAGTCTAGCTCCTCTGCGTCTGATTCATGGTTGGAAAAGATGAATCTAGAATCAATTCTATCCCATTTCCTAATTTCCCCCACAAAAGGGGTCAGGTTCTGCTTGGGGTAGCTAGTTTGCTAACACATTCTTCACTGGCTGCTTTCCCTCCCTTTAACCCATCCTCAGTCCTGATTGATCCTTTCCCAAAACTCTGCTTCTGGGTGAACACAAACCAAAACTTTAACTACCTTCAGTCCACACACATCCTCATAGCGATCTCCTTCATAATGAATAGTGATAGAAAACTCCTTAAGCTCAAGGGCTCCACTGTTTGAAAACTAAAACCCCCAGTTAATTCTTCCTCTCCAGAGTTAGGATATGTTTCCCATAATAACCTCTAACCCTTGTTGATCCTTTCCTATCCAAAGAAGTCTAGAAAAGACCTTCTACTTCAGCATATTCCCTTTACCCATCTTTCCTGGTTTTGAGGGAAGAGGGTTGTTTGCATAATGGAAAACTACAGTCTCGGGTTGTAAAATAATACAGGTTTTAGAGACCTAAGCACTCTGCCTGTCACTCTCTGGGATAATAAAGGGTTCTCAGACTCCTCTGGAGATGGGGGGGGGCGGGGAATGACTGCATTTTGAACTTGATTTCCATATTCTGTGAAATCTAATACGGCAACCTGAAATCATTAGGTGTAGAGTACTCCTAGATTACATTAATTGTGCTGCCAGTTAAACATTCTCACATGGTTTTGTTTGAATGATTTGTTCTGTAAAAAGCACTGTCTCATAGACTTATTGTAAAACCATTTAACATCCCCTGTAAAATGTGCACCAATGAATCAAATCAAACCCAATCCCAAATTCTAGGATCTTTGCTGAGGTAGTCCTTGGCTTTTAGGTTTCTGGATTTTAAGGTACTCTGGGATCTTGAGACAAAAATAAGGAAAGCATTCTGGGTCTCAAAATAGCAACTATTGATCAAGGTAGAGGAACCTGTCCATGTTGTAACAGCAGGTGGAGTGGTACTCTTCTGACACTCCCTGGTATAGTATTTGTCCAGTTGCTATTTTGTGAGACAGAATCTATTCCCAGCATACCTGGAGCCTTGTACTTTCTGAAGTTGATGTTGGCTAGCACAAAGTGGATGATAGTTGGACAGTCTGTTTCCACATCAGGATTCTTGGGTTTAAAGACATAACACTCCTTCAGTCCTTCCCGATCGAACACATACGGATCTATCTTTGGGAAAGGAAGCTTGTTCATCTTAGCCCATTTCTCTGCAAGGAGAAGTTCCTATGAGAAAGAAGAGGATACATTTGGGAACTTTTGTCTTCATCTGTGTTAGTCCGACTGTTGTTCAGTATGAATTAGATGTTAATATTTGGTAGCTGTGTGCTCTTTGAGGGTCTCAACAATACCTTCAAGAAGCTCATAAATCTGAAAAAGAAATCACTCTACAAACTCAGCCAGGTGCCAGTGGCTCATGCCTGTAAGCTTAGCTACTCAGGAGGCTGAGATCTGAGGCTGTTTGAAGCCAGCCTGGGCAGGAAATCCATGAGACTCTTATCTCCAATTAACTACCTGAAAACCAGAAATGGCACTGTGGCTCAAGTGATAGGGAGCTCACCTTGAGCTGAAGAGTTCAGGGACAGTACCCAGGCCCAGAGTTCAAGTCCCATGAATGACAAAAAATAAATTAAAAAAAATTACAAACTCAATATTGTCATGTCAATTAGAAGCAAAAGACTAGCTCCACAACAGGCATTTGAAAAATTGTTGATAAACCAAATTAGTCTCTGGGAGTCTAAGAATTTTCCTCTCAATACCATTTACAATAAAATCCTAAGCAAGCAAAGAATTCTACAGCAATGAAAATGTTTGCCTCATACACTATTACACTGAGACCAGCTTTGTGGAGCAGATAATCCCATGTGTGTACAGATAATTTCTCCACTTAAAATCAAGAAAATTGTCCTTTTTAACCCTTCCCTTCTTTCTCTCTGCTCTTTGTGTTAAACATGTCCAGCACTACTGAAAATTCTTCCTTCCTGGTTATTCAACAGCAGAGCAGAGCGAAATCACCCAGTGAAAGCAATTGCGTGCCAGCAGGGAAAAGAGAGAGCCTGCTAGTGTTTACAAACATGACTCAGGCTGCAACTGACCCAACCATGTGCATGTGTGGGGAAAGAAGAAAGGAGACTGTGTGAGGTAAAAGTCCAGCTATTTTTAGAAGTCTAATTCCACAGTGGAATCAGGAAGAGGTAGAAACTTTCCCTTTCCTCTCTGATCCTGACGTGGAAAAGATTAAAAATTGGTGACTACGAAGGCAGTGATTACAAAAGGGAAAACCCATCTTCTTCCTGGGGTCTCCTTGCCTCTGTAAAGACTGAGCAATAGTGACACACACTATGAGTCAGGCTGCTAATGTGAAAAAAACCAAAGTTTTAGGAAGATGTAGTAAGTAAAGACTCTTGTTTCCCAAATGACAGCCATGGAACAGGACTGTGCTCTCTTCTAATCATGCATTTTAGTGTTAATTGATAACTCCCTGCACTTGCCACCTCTTGAGGCTGATGTGGGAAAGCTCACAGAGTACTAACTAAAGCAATGTTTTAGAGAGGAAAACTGGACAGTGTTGTTCAATGGGATAATTTAGAAGATGTCTAGGCTCATTTTTGAATACTAATGTGAGGCTGAAAAACCTTAAAGTAGAAGGGGAAAAAAAGCCAGTTAAAGAACAGAAGATGATCCAAACTGTAATGTAAAAGGCATATACTTGCCAGTTCACTTAGGTATAAAATATATTTGCCTATGTAAGTACGCATATATATGTAAATATATCATAAGAAGAGCTCATGTTCATACCTATGTTCATATGACCATATAAGATAATGCTTATCAAAATGAACCCCAAGAAATGAAACAAAAGGTTTTGAATTGTACTATTTGTGTTTTTTTTCTTTTCTTTTCCCTTTCCTTTTTTCCTTTGGTTTATTCCCTTTTATCTCTATATAAGATTTCTGTAAACTTTATGTATATAAGTTAATCTGATTTTGGGAGGGGAACATAAAGCACAGAAACAGTGGGGCAAAGGGTGAACCAATCCAGCAGTGATATTCACTAGACACTATGTTGGAAATGAACTATAAAACTTGGAGAGGAGGGAGATAAGAGGGGAAACACAGAGAGAAAATGAGGAATGATTCTTCTCAAAAGGAAATGTACTTATTACCTGTCTCATATAACTTTGCCCTGTGTATACCACCTTTATAATAAAATTTTTAAGTAAAAAATAAAAAGGAAAGAAAAAAGAATATGGATATATTTTAGTACATACAATTTATTTGTGTGTTGTTTTTACATTTTTAAACTTTATTATAAAGATGCTATACAGAGGGGTTACAGTTATATGAGTAAGATAATGAGCACATTTCTTGTTGAACATAGTTACCCACTCCTTTTTTTTCCCACTATCCCTTCCCTCCCACATTCCCCTCCCCAAAGTTGTAAAGCTCATTTCCAACACAGTGTCTTGTGAGTGTTGTTGTTGCAATAGGTCATCCTTTGGCCTTGTTTCAGCATTTTGTTATTCCCCTACCCTTCACAAAATTAGATAAATGTATATTCAAGATGTGGAGTACCAGAATCCCATAGGCATTTTTCTATATATTAAAAATCCTTTAGGGATCATCAGGAAAGTAAATTATTTAATTAATCATTTATTAATTAATTAATATATTTGTCATGCTAGGGATCAAACTCAAGAGTTTAAACATGTTAGGGAAACCACGAAACTGTATCCTCAACCTTCATTTTTTTTATTTTTATGATGAAGGTCACTTAAATCTTATGTAGACCATGATTACCTTCTCATAATAGGTCCCTAAAATTGGTATGATTTGAGAAGACAAAAGAGAAATTTTCTTTTCACTTTTGCTTTATATTATTAAATTGTTTCCTAGAGAATTTGTTCCAGTATATAGAATCATGCCCATTCTATTACACTCTGAGGGTTCTAGATGCTCTTTATATTTTGAAAGAATTTTATGCTTCTATCAGAAAGAATGGCATTGCCCCTTTCGTAAGGAAATGGAAAGACTTGGGAAAAAATCATATTAAATGAAGTAAGCCAGACCCAAAGAAACATAGGCTCCAGGTTTCCCTTATTTATAATAATTAGTATATGTCTAGGATAGTCCTGGCAGAAAATCATAGTAACTCAATAACTATGTACATATGACCATACAAAATGAGGCTAACTGAAATCAACTCCAAGACATGGAAACAACAGGTTTCTTTGTTTTTTGCTTTTCCTTTTTTGGTTGTTGACCTTGTTGTCACCGATGTACTGTATCTAGCTCTTTCTTTTCATTTTATTTGTATTTTTCCATTGGTTTGTGTGTGTTTGTGTAAAATGCTAAATTGACATTTTAGCTAGAAGAAATGATATTTTTGTCTCTGCAAATCTACATTATATTCTGGCAATTGGATGACAAATTTGTTCATTATTTAAAACTTTTTCTATGATTTGAGAGGATACTTATGTAATAATTGGCACCCACCACATAACCCAGAATAAAGTCAACTTGTGTTTCTTAATTATATTGGTAAATAACCCTTTGCATCAGTAGGGTTACATTACTCAGGCCTGGCTGCTTAGGCATGGACTTCTAGAAGGCCATCATTAAGGCCACCACATCCACATTAGCCATTAAGACCAATGCGAACACAAAACAACAGGCTTATTAACTCACCTGAACAGAAAGGAAGAAAGAAGTTAATGATATAATCATAAAAAAACTTAAAGCATCTAATATCATATAACAGCTAGGCCTGTTTGTAGAGTCCTATAATTCTCGTACCCAGAAGGCAAGAGAGGGAGATTGTGAATTTGAGGCCAGCCTTGAGCTTCATAGTGAAACCCTACTTCAAGAAACAAAAGAAAACAAACCCAATACAAGCTAAAACAAGCAGAACTGTCACTTTGAACTCACTTATTAGTATGGTCACTCCCTTTCCAATAAAAGGCAAGCTATTATTCATAGTACAATATGCATACAGTTTTTTTTCTACAGCTAATGTTATATAGAATTTACATAATTCTTTGCAGTTATTGTCAGTTCTTCTTCATTAAGAACTTGGTAACATTCACAGAAAGATTCCTGGAGAAGTAAAGGTTGGGTCTACCTACTCATCAGAAGACATCTAATCCTCAGTGGCATACAGGTTTGTGGGCTGGATGGTAGCCCCTTAAAACATAAGGCCATGTCCTAAGCATTCAGCTCCTGTGAACACAGTCATATTGAAGAAAAAGGTTCCTTGCCAATAGAATTAAGTTTTAGAAAATATTTAATGATGGACAGATGTGGTGACGCTGGCCTGCCATTTGAACTACTGGAAAGGCAGAAATGAATGCAATTCAAAAACAGCCAATGCAAAAAGGTAAGCAGAACCCCATCTCAACAAACACCTATACATGATGGTGTATGTCTATAATTACAGCTATGTGGCAGATATAAACCTGAAGATTTCAGTCCAGGCAAGCCTGGGCAAAAAATGTGAGACACTATTCCAAAAGCAACTAAAAAAAAAAAAAGCTTAAGATTTGGTTCAAGTGGCTGGGAAGTTGGCTCAGTGGTAGAGCTCTTGCCTTGCAGGCATGAGGCCCTGGGTTTGATTCCTCAGTACCACATAAGCAAAAAGAAAAAAGCCAGAAGTGGCGCTGTGGCTCAAGTGGTAGAGTGCTAGCCTTGAGATGAAGAGCTGAGGGACAGTGCACAGGCCCAGAGTTCAGGCCCCACGAACAGAACCCCCCCCCAAAAAAAAGATTTGGCTCAAGTAGTTGAGTGCCTGTCTAGCAAATACAAGCCCTAAGGTCAAACTCCAGTGCTACCATATTAAATGACAATAATAATAATAATGGCATGGAAAATGCTTGTAATTCAGTTGTAAGGAGAGGAAAACTATAAAACCTCATAACTATGCTGTTCTCTCTCCCCACCCCCATCTCTCTCTCTCACATACACACATACATACACACACCTCTACACCTATTCACACACCTGAGAGAAATGAGAAAATACCTCCAAATATTGACAACTGTTGCCTGGACACTCAATGTTAGTCCCAAGTTTTTACAAGTATATATTTTTTCTTCATCACAAGTGAGTCAGCATTTTAAAATTACTGTAGAGTATTATGCATCTCTTTCTGTGGTACAAGGCAGTATTCTGAAAACCTCATACAGTGGTAACTCACAGCCATGGCAGAGCTCTGATGCATGTGTGAAATGATGGCGTTGACATTGTATAGTGCCCCCAGTGGCGTGGATCACACACCACCCGCTTCTACCCCACCCTGTCACATCCCTCCCCATCGCCCCACTCAAACCATCATATTCTGCTCCTCCTGCTCAGTTCCCCACACAGTACAGTGCTTGCTGAATGCACTATGCTGGATTTACATAAATCCCTGTTCATCTTAATCCTTCTCCCTCCATTCCCCAGCCCATCCTGCTCCATCCTTTCAGCTTAAGCACCCACAAACTGCAGTTTCACAATGTCATATGTCTGTTGGAAATCTTATGTTCATTCTTCTACGTGCTAGCATGCAAGCTGAAATCTCCTGTAAACTCTCCTAGTGAGCCTTTAGGATTTGTTTTTGCAAACAAGATGATGTATGTCCCTTAAATGTGCTCATTGCCGTGTCTGATGGCTTTTCATGTGAGTTCACTAATTTCCTGCTCGGTGCAACCACGAAGCAATTGATCTGCACATCCCCCTTGTGTAACTACCCAACCATACACAAGGTCTTCACCTTGGTTCTTGGTGTTTTTCTGAACACTAACAGCCTCCACAAAGATCAAAGATAAATACAATCTGAGAACAGGAGACCTTACATGAATTTCAGAGTTGCTAAGAGAACTACTGTTTGGCGCTGTGTATCCATAGTTCAATTAAATGGAAAGTGGATGTGCTGTAGGGCACCTGGGTGATGGCTGACTCTTCCTGCTGGGAGATCATAGACTATATCATTTGATCTTTAACAATTTCCTTTTCTTAATCCAGGATTATACCCGGCTTGTTTGTTGAACTGAGAGTTTCACTAATTTTTCCCAGTCTACTCTTGGATATCAAGCCTCCTAATCTCTTCTCCCCAACGATCTTGGATTACAGACATAAATCATTGCACCTGACCAGATGACTACTTTCTTTCTTTTCTCTCTGTGTGATGAATTTTTCTTCATCGGTGTCATTTTCCCTTTGCCTCTTGCCATAATGTGGACATTTCTGTACTACTTTCAACTGCTATTTTTGTATCTTCTCTCTCTCCTCACCCCTTTAACTTTTTCATAAGTGTGATTCTAACACAAGTGTGATTCAGAGGTGTGGTCACCTCTGAATCTTACCACAGATAGTATCTTGTTCATTAGTGATTGCTAGTCATCAGTATTTAAATATGCCTTCTATTACAAAAGATTTCTTCTTCCCAGCATCTACTGATAGCCAGTATCCATCTGTTTCTTAAAGAGTGCACTGTTAAAACTTACACTCATCCTTGAAATTCCTCCAGTATGCCTGCCTTTGCATCCTCATTGAAACAAACCACTCTTGTTCACTCAAGACTTTCTTATTATCTTCATTTCAGTTTTAATTACTTCACACATTGCATTTTCTCCCTTCTCTGTGATGTTATTCATCAAGTTACCATTCTATGCCCCCACTTTTTCCTTATGATTTTGCCTTTTCTATGCATGGTTTTAATTATCTTTACCCCTTAACTCCTACATCCCAGCTTAATATCCCATTGAAACTTCAGATCCATTCTGTCACTCTTGTCCTGATCCTAAGTCTGAACTTTCTTGTGATAATTTTACCCCTTTAAGTGCTTTATTAGACAGTAGAATGATACATCTCATAAAAATGTAGACAATAGCTAAGCATTGATTGGTAGGCATGTCTACATCACTCAAGGCTGAAAGAGGAAGATTTTGCATTGGAAGTCATACTTGGCTATATAATGAGACTCTGTCTTAAAAAGTAATGTAGAAGCTGGGCACCAGTGGCTCATGCATATAATCCTAGCTACTCAGGAGGCAGAGATCTGAAGATTGTGGTTCAAAGCCAGCCTAGACAGGAAAGTCTGTGAGACTCTTATCTCCAATAAACCACCAGAAAACGGGAAGTGGTGCTGTACCTTGTGGTAGAGCACTTGCCTTGAGCTGAAGAGCTGAGAGACAGTGCTCAGGCCCAGAGTTCAATCCCCTATAACCAAAAAAAAAAAAAAAAGAAGAAAGAAAGAAAGGGAAAAAAAGTAAAGAAAAGTAGAAATTATGTTAAAAGAAAAGAAATTGAGCTCAAGAGAAATAAGTGGTATGCAGGCAAGAGAATATGTTAGAGAGAGGAAGGCTATCTAGTCTCCTTACCTTGAATGGAGGGCTAGTGTCACTTGGCCTTGCAGAAAAGTCAAAGGAGATGATGAGATCCACCCCCCGCTGGGGCCGCAGGATCAGGGGATAGGGCAGGTTAAATGTGAGCCCACTGTCTACCACATGAATTTTTTTGCTTTTGACATCCAGTGGCTCGTATATTTGCTCAAATTCATCAGGATCTTAGGAAAACAAAAAAAGGTAAGAAAACAATGAATTCTTGGTCATTTGATTTTTATTTAAGATATGAAAATGTTTACTATAAATTAAGAAATAATTCCATATGGTTAGGCCTCTGGCTTTGAAAACACAGCTGGACATATGTCTTAGTCAAAAAAATTTTAATCATAGTTTTTTATCTGGAATATCAGAACCAAGTGATTTTTCATATAATGATGCTGAGAAGACTAAATGGAACATATATGGGAGGAACTATAGCTCAGGATCTGGTATTGACTGAGCCAGGACCTCTTTAAGTGTATTATCTCTCATATACAATCTTTACTGGTTTAAAAACACTTCAACAGACACTATCATGTTGAATTCATATAACAGACAGATGTAAAAGAGAATATCTATACATGGATAGTGAAGCAAACTAGAAGTGATTTCTGTTGGGGATCAATATCTCATGCCTGTTATTCTAGTTAGTCAAGAAGCTGAGATCTGAGAATCCTGGTTCAAAGTTATCCTCAGCAGACAAATCCATATGGCTTTTATCTCCAATTAACCAGCAAAAAGCTGGGGGTGGAGGTGTGGTTCAAATGGTAGAGTACCAGATGCGAATGAAAAGCCAAAAAGCCAAACAACTGCACAGGGAATTCAAGCCCAGCGCGCGTGCGCGCGCGCACACACACACACACACACACACACACACGCACGCGCGCGCACACACACACATACACACATACACAGAGTGACTTTTTAGGTAGCATAATGCAGAGGTGTAGTCTGAACAGATTCCATTCTGTCTCTCTGTAAGTTAGTACACATTCTGTAAGGTGACAGCACAAGGAAACAGCCCAGATAACACATTCAGCTGCACTGTCTACTCCTATTGAGCAGAATTCCAGGTACTGAGCAAGTCAAACACAACTCCACTCTTGTAGCAATTATGTTTGGAGCACAAAGCCCGGGAGTTGGTAAACAAATGTTGTGGCAATGAAAAGAGTCAGAGACGGCGGCGAGAGTCTAGGGAAAAACTTCTTTTGGATGCTCAGGGGAGTCCTCACTGAGATGTAAACCATGAGCTGAAACTAGAAAAATGATACAGAGTAGTCAATTAGATTTGTGGGACATGATGGGGCGGGACTGCTGTAGAAGAAGGAAATCCTGGTACAAAGGCCTTAAGGTGGAACAACAAGTGGTAAGGTGGAGCAAAGAGCCCCGTGTGGTATACTACAGAAGGATAGATGGAGATGAGAAGGGCATTGGAAAACAGCAAGACTTAGAGATCATTCATGTTATGAAGAAATAATAATGACAACATGCCACTCTCCATATTTACATATGGAACTCAAAGCTCTCATCTTGAGGAGATAATTTAACCACAATTGAATTGATTGGGATTGGCTTGAATGAAATGTCAGGGACCTGGTTTGCTAGCTCTTTGTCTACACTTTTCTCTGTTAAGGAAGAAGGCTGGTCCTGCTTCAGAGTCTGTTACTGCAGAGCTGAGAAAAGGAGTTCATAGAAGACACTTGTTATAATCTCTGGGTGCACCTTTAAATCCCATTTGGTAAGCATTTTCACAAGAGATACACAAAAAACTGGAAGGTCAGAGAGATCCATGCTTATAGACTCATCTATGAATGTAGTTAATACTCAGCTCATGGATTGTGAGCATTAACTTAGCAAAAGCATATTAAAAGTTTCCAGGAAATGACTAATATACAATAGTAATCCAATGTCAGTATTCTCCACATGTGTCAAAGTGAAAAAAGAGTAGTACTTTTCTCACAGTTAATTTTTACTTACATGTTAAAGAGAAAAGATTACAATAGAATGCTAATTTTAAGCTGTCTGTGCAACTAAATTTATAATCTTTACTATTAATAAAACCTGAAATTAAAACACCAATAAAGCAATTAGTTACAAAATTTGTTCATTGTAAATTGAAACAGGTCATTTAAATTCAAACTGGGTATAATTACTAAGTTATAAATATTTCTCTAAATTTCTACAGTGAACAGCTTTCTGTGCATTGTGTCATACATCAACATTTCTCATCTCTAAAACACTGATGAAAAATAAATCTTTGTTATAACTCAATTTAAACAATTATCTCTCTGAGATTTGAGTTTTTACTTGTTTATTTATTTTTCACTTATTTAGTATTACTCCATTTTGAACCCGGGGCCTTATATTCTACCACTTGAACTATATCTCAAGATTCTCTGAGATTTTTAGCTGAAAAATTATATGCAAACTTTTTGATGAGAAAAAATTATATTCTTTGAATTATATCAGTTTTAAACATTTCACAAAGAATTGGGAAGCCGCTATTTAACTACTCTCATTCCTAAGCAACTTCCTTTATATTGAGTATTATGTCTTAGAAATTTTACATACAAATTTTATCAACCTTGTAACACTTTTTATTTATTTATTTTTAGTTTTATTTTTTGGCAGTGACAAGGACTGAACTCACAGCCTTACACAAGCTTTGCTTGCTTGCTCACTTGGTACTCTACTACTACTTGATCCAACTTCTAGTACATATAATGCTTTGATAGGCAAGCTGAGGTCCAAAGAAGTAAAAGGAGTTATGGAAAACTGTGTAGTTTCACATCAACATAGTGAGAACCAAGGTTCCAAAACTAAAGTGTCAATGAATTTATGTCATTGTGAGGAATACCTTCCCATAAGTTAAAACATTCAAAATTTCCAAACTGTGAATGAGTAATGTTTTCTGACAGGTGCAGTAACTAAATTCTGTTTTATATTCACATAACATTTTTTCTACAGCATTTCAACAGTGGATATCTGGATATCTGTTTTATAAATACATCACACAGACTTGGTCTACAACTCACAAATATTTGGATGTGTGTGTTTTGATTTCTGGTCTATATGAACTCATGTCTTGATCTCCTATTCCAGATAGTGTCTTTCCCAGTAAGTATTCTAAACACAGAGGTAAACAGGAAAAAGGCAATGTAAGTCATGAAAAGCCATTCCAAAATTAGTTCTCCAGGCACTGAACTATCTTGTAGTCAACTAATGAGGGAAACTATCATCCTATAATTTATCTTGTTTCCAGGAGATACTGGGCTAGGTACAAAAGAGTGCTTTTGCCCCCCTCATTTTAGGTTGAGAGATTATTTTAAGATGCCCAGATTTTTAATTTTATATAAACATAATTGCCATACAGAAAAGCAAATTATAAGATTTTCCCCCCCAACACAACATCTCAATTAGATGAAAATATATACCTATTTTTTGGTGTGGGAATGTGTAAAAAATAAAAGAAAAAATGTTTTACAGAAGGTACTTTAGCTGAATAATAAATAGGATTTTTAATTAAAAGTTGAACAGAAATGATCAGTTTGAGGTAAATCTCTTAATATTCATGTTTTATAAAATTATTCTAAAACTTGAAAACAGAGGGAAATAAACAGGATCTAATTTATGAGTCTTTGTCTGAAAAAGCCAATTCAGTCTAAAATGAAGCTTGGATGAATTTGTCACTGACTGATCTGATTTAAGCTATTTTTACTGACATTCATGGCCACTATTTCTTAAATTAAACACATAAAATAAGTAAAAGGCAGCTGTAATGAGATACACACTGAGAAACAGAAGTAAAGGTTTCTCTGAAGTTGGTTAACTTGAAATATATGCAGGCTAGAACATTTCAAAGTAACTAAAAAATAAATATTTATTGTAAATAATGCTATATTTAGTGATGGTTGATCAATAGATCATTCCTCATGTTATTGTATAAAAATGGAAAAAGGGACTGCACAAGGGACTGATATTCTCCAGATCGTCAGAAATCTAGTAATACATCAGCCTATGTGGTTAGTTTGCAGCCATAGCCTAAGGCTGTTATGTCAGAGATTCAGGCTTTCAGTCTCCTCCCCCAACCCCCCTGTCTCTCTCCCCATATTTGGGCTTGAACTCTGAGTCTTATATTCTTTGTTGGCTTTTCACTCAAGGCTGGAACACTACCACTTAAGCTATATCCCTGCTTTTGAATTTTTGCTGGTTAATTGAAGACAGGAGTCTCACGGACTTTTCTGTCCAGGCTGGCTTCTGTCTGTGATCTTCAGATCTCAGTCTTCTAATTAGCTAGGATTATGAGCCATCAGCACTAGACACCCCTCTATTATTTTTAAGCCATATATATGGATCGTTTCCATGAACCCTAACTTCAAGCAAGGACCATGAACTGATTGGAATCTTTACACAGGCAAAGATTGATTATACATGTCTTATTGATTAGGAAATCCCCAGGACAAAGCTCATGATACTTGTGTGTATGAATATTGTGTAAGTACAAGAGGCAAGGAAGAATATAAAGAAGATAAAAATGCAGAGCAACCTGAAAATAGAAAGATGCAGAGGCCTGCATGCTAAGATTTCAAAGTTTAATTAATTAAAATAAAAGATGAGGCTGGGTATGGTGGCTCACTTTTATAATCTTAGCTACTTAGGAGGTGCTGATTGAGAGGACTGAGGCTCAAGGCCAGCCCAAGACCCCATTTCCCTCAATAAAAGCCAGGGCATGGTGGCATGTGCCTGTCAAACAGGCATAAATGCATGACTCAATCTGAAAAAATGCCTACAGCAAAAACATCTTAAAGTATGGCTGCAGTATTGGAGTGAATTTAGCAAGTGCAGTGTTCTGAGTTCATAACCCAGTACTGCTCCCTCCAAATAAAATATGCCCAACTAAATCTGTATTTAAAACAAGTAACAAATAATTGCTTTGTCTAAGCATTTCCTCAATGTTCCAAGGATTAGGAATGCATTATTGGCATGCATGTTATTTTTGAAATTTAATTTAATTTTATTGTGAGGGTGATGTACAGAAGGGTTACAATTACATAAGTAAGGTACTGAGTACATTTCTTTTTTTTATTTTAAATTGATTTCATATTTATTTCAAATCCCACAACTACACAACACAGTAAATGCAAGAAAAGTGTGAACAAAATGTTTTATCAATTTTCTCAAGAATAAAAGGTGGTATTGATCAAGATATATTGTATTCAGAAACTGTTTTGTTAAATGACAATTCCTTTGTACAACTACTTAAAGACAATAATTTAAAAAAACTAAAGATAAAGCATTTTACTGAGTACATTTCTTGTCCAGCAGCGTTACCTACTCCCTGACTCTGCTCCCTGTAGGTTGTAAAGTTCATTTCCTACATAGTGTCCTGTGAGTGTCACTGCTGCACTGATTCACCTTTTGTCCTTTGTCTTACCATTTTGTTATTTCCCCTCCTTCCCCCAAATCAGATATGCATATATACAAGATCTAGGGTACCAAAATAAAAAAAAACAGTGACAACTGGAGATGAACCAAAGGATAAAAAACTAAAGAGAAAAGAAATAACTTCACACAGTACATTAGAAGCAATACCACCACTACCACCACCAACAAAAAACCCTCGTATCCATATCTTGGAGTTCATTTAAATTAGCCTCATTTTTTGCATGTTATTTAAAATTAAAATTGTACTGGAAATTCTGTATTTTGCTTGGCAGCCTTAATACTCTCTAATTTACATAAAATGTTAGAAAACTGCCAGGAAGATGATAAAAATGTGGAGTACAGGACACATGTTTTATAAACCACAGAAAAGTTATGCTGGCAAAGTAAAACGTAAATGAGATGGAATCAAGTTTACACAAAGAAAACTTCCATTCTTACAACAAGACAATGAGTAATGGAACCACAGGGGATGTATATATCACAAGAAAAAGGCTCAGGAACAAGGCCAACAGACACCCATCCCAAGCCCAGATCTGCTGAGTAATTTTGGACAATGATGATAGAATCATTTTCTTTGTTCTTCCTTCTCTAAGGAACAAAATAACTGAGGATTTCTTTGGATCTAAATATTCAATTAAAATAGTTCCAGAAGCCCATCAAACATTAATTAGAAAGCTCTAGATTTCAGAAGAAATAAATTTCATTAGAATTGAAATGTCATAATGATGTGACAGAAAATAATGTTGCTGATTACAGCGTCAAGTGCATTTCCAGCTGGCATGAATGTAAAGATACATATTCACTACTCATTTATAGACCTATTTCCCCAATACCAGAATTTGAGCTTAGCATTATGCACTTGGTTTAGCTTGCTTGTTTGGCTTCCCCTCTATTGTTTGAGACATGCCTCCAGCCAAGCTTTTTGCTGGTCAATTACAGATGGAGTCTCATCTGCCTGAGCTGGCTTTGACCCATGATTCTCCAAATTCCAGCCTCCTGAATACCTAGATTACATGTGTGAGCCACCAAAAAGTATATGCAGTAGATATATAACTGGACACTCTAGCCTTGAGTTAAATAGCAGAAACTCAGTGTAAAATGTGAATTTTGGACTCTTCTTCAAACAAGAGGAATCTCTTTCTCAATTCCCTATAAAGGTAAGGGATAATTAGATATAGACCTACCAGAGCAATAATACAATTGAAAACCATATCCTAATTCTTTTTTGTTCATTTTATTGTTAAAATACTGTACAGAGGGGTTAACGTTACGTGAGCAAGGTAATGAGTACATTTCCTATTGAGCATTGTGCCCTCCTCCTTTGTTTCATAGGTATGACACAGGGCAGTAGAAAGATTTTTTTTCTAATTTTTCATTTAAAATTTCACACCGTCTTATCAATGTCCATAGGTCAGAAAAGATTCAGCAATGCCATTTGGACAACAAGGAAAAGATTACATAACAACAGAGCAAAAATAAAATGTTAAGATTATCACCAGGAAGATAAATTACGTACCATTAATCGCTAAAGCCAGTTTAATTTGTAATCTATAGCACACAAGGGAATGAAGATGTTCTTGGGGATTTGGCTAGGTAACAAACATAAAAAAAACCAACTAGATTGTTACTGGAGAGCCTTAAAAAGTTCCCTCAGCTTCTGGGAACTGGAGAGACAGATTCACTATCTAAGTGGCACAGAAGGGCTCCCTCAACTCCATCCCCTGTGCTCTGGCCCACAGCAGGGCATCAGCCTAAGAACAAAGTTCAACAGATGCCCTCAAGCTACAGCGCAGGGCAGTGTTGGCCTCTGCCAAAGAGGAACGCCCACACCCTGGGAAGGAGGAAATGAGGCAGGCTGCTACTGCTGTCTATAGCCAAGCACCGCTGTGGAGGCGGTGGTGGGGACGATTTTGTTTATGGAGTCATTCTTGGAAGCTCAGCCTAGAGCATGCTCCTCTAATCCTTGGAACAACTTTGCAAGTACTTAATACTCTACTTTAAATCCCTGAAGTTATTAACAGAGGGTTTCCTATTCTCCTGAAGTGAACTCTGACCCAATTAAAACAAAAAGAATCTAAATTCCAGTGCCACTTTCAGTACCGATCTGGCTGCATTGTTTTCTTGACCAATCTAGCAACCAGACACCAGAAAATAAAAGCTCCTCACAAATCAATGCATACCCATGCCACTGAGCATACATGAACAAACATCACCAGTCATTAAAAGGATATTTTCCAGAGAAAGAATGAAAAGGGCCTGAGTTAGGAGGCGTGGGGGGGGGGGATGTTTTGCATGCTCACCTGCTACAGCTGCATCCAGCTCATCATCATCATCGAAGGATTCCTGTGTGGTGAAATCTCTCAGCGGAGACAGTGGGTAAGATGTATTCAGGTTCAAGCCCAGCATGAAGTTGTGCACCTTCCCAGCACGCCCTTCCCGGGTGTTGAATAAAGCAGAATCACTCACCAAGGCCATCAACATACGATGGACCCAGCTAGCTTGATTATCATTTTGATATTCCTTTTCAGCATCTTCATTTTCAGTACCTAAGGAAAAAAGAAAAGAGCACACACACCAAAAAATGCATTTTCTTTGGTCAATTGAAAGTCATAGTTGATCATCAACCTCTAGGTCTTTAACATATGGTTATAATGCTCTTGTTTCCTTTATATACAAGCAAGGTAAAGGTTGTATTTCTGACCGTTTCAATAGTCTATTGCTAGACATTCAGGTAACTTCCCATTTTCTCATTTCTCCTCAAACCTAGGTTCATTTTCTTTTTCCCTTTCTTCAGACAAATTCTCTCTCTCTTTGTCTCTCTCTCTCTCTTTCTCATACACACACACACAAACACAAGCATATACACACACACATAAAAGCCATAGTAGATAATCTTACCCTCTATGTTTCCTAAGTTTTCTCAACAGTCCTTATCCTGTTAGTAAATATCCAAGATTATGCAAGAAGCAGCTAAAGAACTCAATACACAATTATTGCCCAATAAATACCCTATGAATTTGTCCTATGACCCATCATTTCATCCCTGATTATACAGTTTGGGGCTTTAAAAGCCCTGTAATTTAAACAAATGCTTTAAATGTTTAAAATTCAATCATGGGCCAAACACAATAATTTTAAATAACTTTTCCCATGCACACATCACTAAGCCTGGGAAGTTATACAAGTCATCAGAGAAATACAAATCTATAAAATGGAAAACTACAACTCATATATCACAAGGGCTAAAACCTAAAACACTGACAACACCAAAAGTTGACAAGGATGCAAAGGTAAAGAAAATCTTAGTTGTTGATGGTAAAAATGCAAAATGATACAGCCACACTAGGAGAAAGCCAAGAAGGTCCGTATGAAATTATGCTCTTGTCTTATTATCTAGCAATTGTAGTTGGTATTTACCCATCGTTACAAAAACTTGAACATGTGTTTATTTGAAACCTGAAAGCAGTCAACATAGCTTCAATGGATGAACTATAATGTATTTAGACAATATTACCGAACAGTTAGAATGAATGAGTTATTAAGCCATGTGACGTTCATACCACAAAATGAAAGGAAGTAATGTGAAAAGATTGCACGCTGTAGGAATCCAACTATGGTCCATTCTGGATAAGACAAAATAATGAAGACACCAAAATGACTGGTACCACCAGAAGTCAGAGGAGAAGGAGAGACTAAGAAATAGAAGACAGCTGACTTACAAAGAAAAGACACCAATGTATGTGATAGATACATGTACATAGGAGTTACTTGTCATTACACATTCACGAGATCCCATAGAGGGTACAATAGCAGCTGTGAATTATGGACTTCCAGTGATAATGGCATTCCAATACATTTTCACAATGTCATTAGCTGTTCCACTCTAATGAGAAGTGTTTTCAGTAGAGAAGGCTGATGGTGGATGCAAAAGGCAGAAGATAGATAGAAATTCTCCATTTTTCTGTTCAATTTCACACTGAACCTAAAACAGCTCCAAAAACTTTATTTAAAAGGAATGTTGAGAGCTAATTTGTAAAACCCTCAAAAAGCATCCTAAATAATCCTCCTTTATTACAGCCTATTAGTTATGCTAAAGCAGCCATAGTCAGAGTTCTTGAACTTCTTAAAGAACCAGAGAATAGTCCAGCAGTGATTGTTGTAGTAATTTACTTACTAATGGAAAAATCATTATTACTTTCACTAAGTAGCCCTTAAATCAATAAATAATCTTCAAAATGCTGACCAGATAGTATGCATTCCCTTTACACTGGCTAGCTTTGTTATGAAAGGAAATTCATGATCAAAGTGTTCCAACCATCTCAGATTTGTCCATTTGTTCAACAGAAAATCCTTTTGAGGTATTTAAAAGAAGGGCTTTTATCTGCCACTTTTTGTTGCAGGTATACTATGTAGTCCCCTTAAGAGAAAGCTGCAAATTTGTTACTAAAGTGCTTAAACTAACTCGGCCTCTTTAGTGAGAAAAATCAGACAGATGATGCACATCTTTTCTTTATCAGTCCCTGTCAGTTGTGTGTCTTTCTTACCTTTACGTTCTTGGGATTCATCATCACTATCCGAGCTATCATTACTCACAATATGCTTTGCTGTAATATTCTCTGTGGAAACAAGACAAAACAAATGAAGCTTCTCAGAGATTAAAGTTCACAATTCAATTTATTCTAAAGTAACAATCTGAAGCTAGTCACTATGTCTCACATTTGTAATCCTAGCTACTTGCAAGGCTAAAATTGGGAAGGTTGAGGTTCCAAGGCTACCCTGTGAAAGCTATCTCTAATACTGACCAAAAATCATCTGTTGGAACGAATCAATGTGTGCTTCCCTTCAGAACTTACTAAAAGGCCATACAGAAAAATGGAAAGAGCAACCACAGATCCTTAATACACAGACAGCAGAAACATACACCAAAATAACTAGTTGTCTTTTTTCAAGTAAAAGATACCTAAATCAGGGAACAGTCTGATTATTTTCATAAAAACTATTTGTACAAAAATCAAACTTACTATAAAGTAATTAATTTATTGATTGATTGATTTGGTGGTACTGGGAATCGAACCTCAGGGCCTTATACTTGCAAAGTAGAAGCTCTACCACTTAGGTCATGCCTGCAGCCCCCTTTTTGCATTGATTATATTTAAGGTATATATTTGTGTTTCCTCATGTCATTAACTAGTCATTGTGTGTCCCTTATAGCTGAGATAATAGGCACACATCACCACATCCAGCCATTGATTGAGATGAGTTTCTTGAACTTTTATTCCTTGGCCTGGGCTCAGACCACCAGCCCTGGGTAGCCTCCCAAGCAGTGAGGATTACACACTTGAGCCACTGTAACTCAGTTTTTATTCTGGAGGCTTTAACTCATAGAAATATAGATATGACATTTGGTTTCTCTATATCTATAGATACTACTTAGGCCTGTATAAGTAACATAGACATATGAGTATAGAATAGTTAAAAAAAAAACACTTCAGGTCATAGCTTTTGGTTTTCACTGGCATGATTTGCTAAATTTTGTACAAAATTCAATAAAAATCAAATTCTTAGAAGCCAATAGTATTATTCACGTCATTTTTTATCATTGTGTTGATGAGAGAGGACATTAAGAAATGATCAGTTCCAGATGTCATATACATAGATGTGTTTCTAAGTGTATTTTTCTTTTCTGAACCATTTCCTTTTATCACAATTTCTTTTGTTTCTTTTGGCAGTGTTTGGACTCTGATTTAAGAAGATGGCATACTGAAATACTGTCTTTTTTTTTTTTTTTTTGGTCAGTCAGGGGCTTGAACTCTGGGCTTGGGCACTGTCCCTGTGTTCTTCAGCTCAAGGCAATCGCTCTACTGCTTGAGCCACAGCGCCACTTCCAGTTTTCTAGTGGTTTATTGGACATAAGAGTCTCAGGGACTTTCCTGCTTGGGCTGGCTTTGAACCTCGATCCTCAGATCTCAGCCTCCTGAATAGATTACAGGCGTGAGTCACCAGCGCCCAATTACTGTCTTTTTTTTAAATCAGAGAGTTTTTATGATACAAACTGTTAAATAGTCTAAACTTTCATATTTTTATACATCTATAGTACATGTACATAAGGTATGTATATATGTATATAAAGTACATAAATAGTATATTATACATATTATATATTTTTCCATAGCATAAATTGCAGAACTCCCTGAATGAGTAAATAATTTCATGTAAAGTTACTTGATTGCATTTTATTTTACCTTAATGTATTCCTTCAGAAATGACAAACAAAACTACCCTTTCAGAGGTAAGCTTCAGTCAAGCCAAAGAATAACCTAGTCACCAGGCATCCTCAGGTCCTCTAAGTCACAGCTTTGGTGACAGTCCTGGAAACCCTTACATAATCTGAAGTAACAGGCATCCAGCTGAGCAGATGGATCCTGAAGACACAGTATTCCCTCTCGGTCTGACACACAGGACAATGAAGCTGCCAGACCACCAGCCTCAAGGGGAACTTCTCAACAAAGAAACTTCTCAAAATTATCGAGTACAAGCGTCTTCCTTTGCCTTGGCATTTGGCCACTGTCTCGCCCACCTTCTGATGTGTTATTCCAGTCCTATTCCCTTCCTGCCCCAGGAGAAAAATAATAATAAACTGGAATTATCTGGATTAGTCAACAGAGAAGGAGCTCAGGAAGCAAGTCTGCTATGTGGTTGTTCATCTGTTCTGGTGCTTTCATTTTTGTTTTAATAAAAATGGTTATATAATTTAGAGGACTAGGTGACTTCTACAAAATTACAGTTAAGAACAGGACAGTCATTTGAGACATAATGTTCATAAAGATAAACCAAGATCAATTCAATTTTAAACATTTAGCCTTGTAGATTAACTAAATATTAAGAGAAAGCATGTGGTCCTGTATTAAAGGTGTCAGCTTTTCTCTACCTGATTATGTTCAGAGGACAAAGGTAACTACAAGCACAAAGGTCATTTCTATTTGTTAATTTCATGTTTATTTTTAAAATATTTGGGGGCTAGGAATGTAGCTCAGTGCTAGAACAATTCCTAGCAAAGACAGGTGTTGGGTTTGATTCCCAGCACCTCAAGAAAACAAAACAAGCAGACACACAGCACCCCAAAAAAAAATCCTAATGAAATCATAAGATCATCTTTTTATCATCTATTAAGAACTCTCCAAAAGTACAAGTGATACACCTAAAGAAAATATTGATAAATATGGAAATTTAAGCTGTGAATAAATATCAATAAAATCAAACAACTAAAATCAATTCTTGCAAGAGGAGTTAAAACAATCACATGTACAGAATTTAATGAATTGTTCTTCTATATCTGCTCATACAAGGAATATCAACTGCTATTGCTTGTGATAGCCAGAGGCATTTTATTAAGCTTCGTATGTGAATGCATTCTTTAAATAAAATAATCACTGAAAAATTCACTGTTGTTATTATGTCAATGTCTCTGTTCTCAAATTGGAAGAGTCAGGAGTTTTCTGATGACCCATAGTGTTGTCCTGACCCCTACAGTCATGGCCCCAAACTCAGAGGTAGCTTTCCATGGCTGCTTCCTATTATTATTACAAATAGCCAGAAACTATTAGCTTGGATGGCAAATCTTTGAATACGAAGAAACTTTGACAAGAGACTTTGGTAAGTCTCATAAGTATATGTTTTGCTTTACTAGCCTTAAATTAAACTTATTAATTCAAAAAAACCTCATATGTTGCTGTATATTATGCAATAATGAATCACTACCATTGTTTCTTTGCCCATTTTTTGTATTTTGTAAATAATATTTTATTTGATGATGGGATGATGAATTTTCCTTACAGTAATTTGTTACTTTCAGTTTATGAATGGCTATTTAAATGTTTTCTTCTTTTTAATGTTAATCAATACTATAGAAGAGGCTGGTAACTCTAATTCAGTAGCATTTAAGGATACATAAACTATAAGCTATTCATTTACCCTTAAATTCATACTATGTTCAAATGTTGAAAATAAAATTTTTAAAAGATGACTCTTATTTTATATATATATGCATATATATATATATGAATAAATACTCTTTAACAACAATACTATGTATAGACAGACAATGAGAGAAAAGAATGGAGGTGCCTTGGTACAAATTATTCTCATGAATCAATAATCTCTATGAATTCTACAACTCCATTATCAGACTAGTACTTCAGAAACAACTTGCAAGCAATGTTTAGGAAATACCTGAGTAGGTTTAAGCAAATTATTGCTTTAGAACAGTTAAAATCCTCAAGAATCTGGTATTGTGTACATATGAGTATGTGTAAATTTTTCAATGATGGGCATCAGTGTAAGCATGTTTACCAACCTAATTCCTCCTCCATGGTGGAACCTTTATTTTGTGAACCAGAAACTCCCAAGACTCTGTTGAACAATATGGAAAAGGCACTTCCCCAGACACCTGAAAACAAAGCAGAAACAAAAACCTGAAAAATGCATCAAGATTTAAAATATTCAGAGAAACTAGCAGTAGATTTTCAGTCACTTACCCATTAAAAAATGTAAGGGGTTTTCTTCATATTTTTTCACAACTGTGCCCATAAAAAATTTGCTTCCAAATAAGTCAGGAGCCATAAAAGTACCATATTTAGCCATTCCAATCTCATATGGACTAAATTCAACCCAATCTGCAAGCAGTTTTAAAACAATATATTTCAGTAATAGGAAAATGCTATACAGAAGTATACAGTTCATAATGCCAAGATTAATCTCATTCAATTAAATTAATAAAATGTTAAAAAAATAAATATTATGTATTTGTCTGTGGAGAAGTTTGTGGAGAAAAGCATGTAGTTGAATTGGATGAGATCTCTCTTAGGTCAGGCATGGTAATGCATGCCTGTAATCTCAGCTATTGAGATAAAGATAACCATCTGAGACTGGCTCAGGATAAAGGCACCATATTATTTGAAATATAACTAAGGAAAAAGATTGCTTGTCTAGAAAGTAAAAAGCCCTGAGTTCAAAGTCCAATGCTTCCAAAAAGAAAAAAAAATATCTAATCTATACAAAATAAAAATTATTCTCAATTTCAGAACTCAGACTTTTTTACTTTTTTTAATTGTAAAAATGCTGTACAGAGGGGTTACAGTTATGTGAGCAAGGTAGTGAGTACGTTATAAAGTTCATCTTATTGTAAAAAATGTAAAATTGAAAATATAACTCATATAAAACCTCATAAAGGATACAGAATACATGAAACTCTGTGATAATGGAAGTGATCTTCAAGAATGGAAAATACATGTTTTCTAGCATATCTCACTTTTCCTCATCGCCATTTGCCTTAGTAACTATCTGTGCTAATTCCTACAGCAACAAGGGAGGGTTTTATACTAATGTCTTAGAGATCCATAGTGCCGGGGACAGTAAAGCCCACTGTTCACGAGTGGAGACACTGGAGTCACTCTGGAACCAGTCCCCATTCTGAAGCTCACTAACAGTGCTACTCACTTGGATATGCTGCTTACCTTCTCCGTGCCAGCTCCCTAAGTAGACAATGGGAATTAAATTAGTAGGTGGTTTGGAGGACTGTTTTGATGATCCAATGAGATAAGAAATATAAGGAACAGAGGGGAATACATGACATATTTTAGTAGCTCAATCAGTACTACCTGCTACTGCTTTTCCTATACTCCCTTGACATAACTGTGCCTAACAGTGATCTGAATCTGAACATGTCCAGAAAGAATTCCTGGATTCTGACTCCCATTCACCATACTTGAAATTCCTCCAGGCTTCCCTCTCTTGGTTCTATTATTTATATTACTACCAACACTGTAGGAGCACCCTTGATGGTTCCCTGCTTTCATAGCTCACCCAAAATATCAAGTTCCACCATTAACTATTAAGAACCTGTCACTTATCCATTTGGCTACCTGACCATACTAGTACACATTGCCATATCCTCTTTTCCCTGAGTCTCCAAAAAAGCTCAATTTATTTTCCTTTTTAAAGCCAGAATGAAGTTCTGAAAACAGAGATCACGACACACCAATGGCAGGCAAAAGCCTTCCAAAAGATTCCTTTTACACCAAAAATAAAAACATGGCTTAAAATGTAACATGATGATAATTGTTTCTACTCCAGGATTCCATTTCTCCTTGCAGTCACCTGTCATGTTCATATTCTGTCATATTTATTCTACATAAGAAACACAGACCTTCTTACTGTTCCTTTAATAAGTCAAGGCAATTTTCACATCATGTCTTATTATCTCTGCTATTCCTTTCTTCAATTATCCATCTTAATCAATTATCCTACTTAATCTTTAGGTCTTAACTTCAAAGTGTCTTTGTTGAGAATCCTCTGTAAAATCCCATTATCATAACCACCCCCCCTGCCCGCAATTTTTGGAATACTTGTATTTACAAACTAACAATGTGTCAAGAATTTCTTATCTAACAATTCAAAATTCGAACAATTCCTAAGTCCACAAGTTTTTGTCTCATTCAATTAGTGTTAAAACTTGATCTGGATTCATTTAGAAAGAAATCAGTGAAAGGGGGGAGGTTATTTATTAATTTATTTTTACTTTTGTTCTAGTACTGGAATTCATGTGGCATTTTTCCCTCATAGCTGGAGCTTTACCACTTGAGTCACATCTCCAGTTCTAGCTTTCTGATGGTTAATTAATGATACGAGTTTTGCAGATTTGTTTGCCTGTGTTACCTTTTAGCCTTGATTCTCATATCTCTGCCTCCTGAGTAGCTAGGACTACAGATGTGACCCACCAATGCCTGGCTTACAGGCAGTGCTTCTGATAGTTTATTTACACCAGTCAATGGAAATATCAATGCATTGAATTGGATAAATATGACCAATTAAAGACATAATAATTCCATGGTACACTAGTGTATTATGTAACATAGGAGTACCTCTTAAACTAAAATTTGAAATATTCTGAAATCCAAAATACCTGTCTTCAAAGTTTTAGAAATGGAATGTGGATCTCTTTGTATTGCTCAATGATAGAAGAACCTCACTTTATGGAGAGTGTTATGAAATCACAGTTGTGGTGAGTTAACATTGTTGTTCATTTCAAGTTCAAGCTCATGGCACATATTCCCTGCATCTGAAAGTGGTCTGTTTTGTAATGATTTATGGGGAGGTAGTGAGACATGACTAGCAATGAATCAGAGGCTGTTAGGAAGATTCCTGCATCCATACACATAATTTCCCATCTCTACATTTTATAGCCCCATTTTGGGAACTCAAAGGGATACAACCTCATCTCTCCTACTTTTCTGTTGATCCCTTCTTTGTCAATTGTAAATGCTCCCAAAGCACTAGGATTTCCCCTATTCTCACAACTGAAGTGCTCAAAAAAAATCACATTATTCAGCCATTCCTTTTCTGCCATTGACTTAAACATTTCAGCATTAGCCTCCCTCCTGCATCCACCTTCCCCTACATTTATTTATACTCACAGCTTCTTTCATCACCTCCCACACCTGAAGCCTGAAACTAAACTCATACTTTTTTCCCTAGTCCAGCCTCACTATTTTGGTAAAATACACTATCATGGCTAGGAAAATTTCTTCATGTTTTAAAGAAATCCATCTTTATTATTTTTTTATCAAATCCATTGTAACACTGCTAGCCTCTAATGTCTGTTTCCTACTTTCTTTCCTTGTCTTTATCTCCCTGGTCCCAGGACCTCATTACAAAAACAAGGATATCCTCACTTCCAGTTACTTTCCTTTTCAATTGACCTAAAGGAGACACCAAAAGTACCTAAAAAACAATATACAGATAATTTAATTGTTCAACACCAAAGCATTGAATAATTCCCATTGAGTAAAAACATTTCTGCCTGGGAACAGAATCTCTTCATAATTTTGCAAACAAAAAGATTGTCCCCAAATATACACATGATTTTCACCAGGGTGTGCACAAATTTTGGGCTAGGTTTTTGGTAGGAATTCCACAAACAAATCTTTTCTGAGCACTGTTCACACTGCTTCCTCCCAAAGTTACTTTTTCCAAAGTTGACCTTCCACCTCTCCTTTGACCCTTCCAACTTTTACGTCAGTCTGAGTTCAATCACCCTCCAAAGTGTTTCTTAAGACTTTGGCAGGTCTACATACTTTAGCAATAGGAATAGTCTAGATATATACTATTAATTTTTCTATAGTTTGTTTTCATCTCTCAGGTGGGATTATCATTTTGTTGGGGGAAAATACTACATGTTTTACTTTTGTAGTTTCTATCAAAGAATTTTGCATAAAGAAAAACAGGATGGTGTATGTCCACAATCCCAGCACTCTGAGGCCAAGGAAGTTGGGTGAAGAGTTCAAGGCCAACCCAGACTGCAGAGACAGATCAAATCTCAAAAGAAAATCCAGGCACCGGTGGCCCATGCCTATAATCCTAGCTACTAAGGAGGCTGAGATCTGAGGATGGCAGTTCAAAGCCAGCCCCAGAAGGACAGTCCCTGAGATTCTTATCTCTAATTGACCTACAGAAAACCAGAAGTGGTGCTGTGGCTCAAGTGGTAAAGTGCCCACCTTGAACTGAAAAGCTGAGAGACAGTGCCCAGGCCCAGAATTCAAGACCCACAACTGACAATAAATAAATAAATACCATGGCATTGAGTCCATCTCCATAAATGTTCTATAAATAAAATTTATTCACGAGTAGATATTATTAAATGAATTTTAAAACTCTCAGCAATGTGATAGTGTGGAGGAGTCAAAAATACTTAAGGTTTTAGACACTAATGTTTATTTCTTGAAAATCTTCCAAAGGAAAAAGCGTTTAAAATCATTCCAAGGGGAAAGAAAAACATTCCGTGGTGTTTATGCAAGAAAGTTCTTGATAAGACTTCTCTAAGCTAAATTATTTCTCTGACCTTTAAATATACAACTCAGCCAGGTACCAATGGCTCATACCTATAATCCTATCTACTCAGGTGGCTGAGATCTATGAAGCATGGTTCAAGTTAGCTTGGGCAGGAAATTCTGTAAGAGTCTTACCTCCAATAAATTACACAAAAAAGTCAGAAGTGGCACTGTGGTTCAAGTTGTAGAATGATAGCCTTGAGCAAAAGAAGCTCAGAGACAGTACCCGGGCCTAGAGTTCAAGCCCCAGGATTGCCAAAAAAATAAAAATTACAAAAGTGAAAAAATAAAACTACAAATTCAACTCAGAGATACAATTTCAACTTGTTTTGCTCTAAATAGCCATTTTTAAGCAACAAAGGGTAGATATCTTCCTTTACCCTCAGTAATTTAAATAAAGCTCCATATACTCACTAGGGATTGCTTTTTTGGAAATAAGACTTACATAGCTAATGGTAGACACAACTAACCCCCTATCACAGCAGCGACACATGAAGGCCAATAATGTGTGCATCACTATAGCAACAGTATCATCCCAGGTGGGCAGACATTGAGACCAGCCACAAACGCTCAAGTCCAAAGAGGATAAAAAAAGTTACAATGGCCTTTTCATGCTCTAAAGGAGTCCAGGTCATTAGATTCCAAAATAATATTTATTCCTTATTTTACTCAAATTTTATCTTTAAAATGGTTACTGACTAAAAGTTCAGAATGAACAGGTCCACTGAAAATGTCCATTGTAATGATCATAAAAAGATGATGATGTTTCTAGGTCAGATAAATTTTGGTTTTATCTTATCTATGTCTCAGAGAAAGTCTTCATAGCTTCATTAGATAAATCTCATAGCTAATACGCTTGTTAAATAATAGGAAAAATTAGAATCAGACAAACTCCAAGGCCTGCCTGAAGTAGGAAGACAAGCAATCCAAATCAGAATTGAGTTCTCTTTTGATTGGTATCATGATGCTTCTGGGGCAAAAGAGGATGTATTTGATTATTCACCCAACTAGTTTTCACATGCTATTTGTCAGCCAATATCTTTCTAGACTCCACAAGAGAATAAATACAATGTGGTGGAAAAGCAATTGCAACATGTTATTTAGTTTTCTTATATAATAAAGTCTCAAGTCTCCACATGAACTCCACTATGGTATGGAGCAAATACGTTTGTTTATATTGAACTCCTCATGCCCACCTCCTTCCTACTCTCTAACTTACAACTTAACTTTCATATATAATGCTATTCATTGTTAAGATCTTATCCACGGCGTGTGTGTGTGTGTGTGTCTGTGTGTGTGTGTGTCTGTGTGTGTGTGTCTGTGTGTGTGTGTTTGTGTGTGTGTTTGCTGGTCCTGAGACTTGAACTTATGGACTAGGCACTTTCCCTATCATTTTGTTTTGTTTTGTTTTGCTTTGCTTTTTATTCAATACCAGTACTCTGTTATTTCACAGATCCCCTTCTAGCTTTTGTGGTGCTTAATTGGAGATAAGTATCATATGGATCTCCCTCTTAGGCTGCCTTCAAACCAAGATCCTCAGTTCTCAGCCTCTTGAGTGGCTAGGATTACAGCTGTGAGCCACTGGTGCCTAACCCACTGGAATTTTTTATACACGACTTTCATAGTATACCCTACATTGTTCAGATATACTGAAAAAATGGCGCCTAATGCAGTTTTAAGTATATTATATATTTTATCATATCTACTTGTCAAAACAGAGTAAAGTATCATCCTATTATAACAGATGCAGTAACAGGCTACAAGAGATCATATAACAGCCAAAGTGATAGTGTATCCTAATTGTTCTACATTTTTTAGGTTCATTTATCTAATATTTGTTATGAAATTCCTAAATTGAAACAGGACTTACAAGCAAGAACACTATGTGACAACGAGGAGTGGAGTTAATCCTTGAAATCTAATATGCTAAACTCTATATGGTCTATAGGTAGTAAAGTTAACCTAGCATTAAAAAAAAAAAGGTAACAAACGAGTTCAATGCTAATCTGAGCTCTCTTACTTATTATGTAGTGATGTATAACTTAATTACTCTTTCTGAAACCTTATTTATTCTTTGCCTGTCCTTCTTTCTTTATTCTTTTCCTTTCTTTTGGTACCAATCCATTTTTTGGGAGGGGGAGGGGTGAGGAGGCTTGAATTCAGGGCCTGAGTGCTTTTCCTGAGCTTCTTCTGCTTAAGGAACTACCACTTGAGCCAGAGCTCCACTTCTCTTGCTTATGGGGTAGTTTATTGGAGAAAAATATCTCATAGACTTTCATGCCCAGACTAGCTCCAAACCATGATTCTCAGATCTCAGGCTCCTGGGTAGCTAGGATTATAGATATGAGTCACTGGAGCCTAACTTCTTTTTTTTTTCTTTTTTTTTTAAGCAGTGCTAAAATAAAATAAAATAAAAAGACCTATTTCCCTGTGTTCAACTGAAGATTGGAATAAAATAATCAATGTAATAACTGCTTTCTGACAAACATTTTAACCAATATTATTAATAAGTACATGTTTATTAGTGAATGAACCCTAGGTATATTTTTTTTATAAACTATCTAAAATTCATGCCTGAAAGGTACAGAAAACTGAGAGCAAAATTACAAAGGAATTTTGGATAAAAATTTGCTAATTGTGTGACTTTCATAACCAGTATATAAACTCATGATGGGAATCAAGTCACTGATGTACCATTCCTAAAATACAATGAACCCATCAGCCAGTCAACAGGTTAACTCTGGCAGAACTCCCTCATCAGTTCCATGGTGGCAATAATTTCCATGGCACCCAAGAAGTAAAGCTACAGAAGAAAGTATTATTTCTCCCAAGATTTAAAAGAAATAAAACAATATGTCCACCACAAACATACACAAGTTCTTGGTAGGTGTTTAATTGTAAGAATTAGAATATGAGGGTAGGAAGTTGGCTCAATGGTAGAGTGCTTGCCTCACATGCATGAGGGCCTGGTTTTGATTCCTCAGCACCACATAAACAGAAAAAAGCCAGAAGTGGGGCTGTGTCTCAAGTGATAAGGTGCTAGCCTTAAGCTGAAGAGCTGAGGGACAGTGTCCAAGCCCAGAGTTCAGCCCCCACGACCAAAAAAATAAATAAATAAAAGAATTAAAATGGTGTTTCAAGTGACTGACATATATTATCCAATTCATTAAAATATATCAAGAAAGTAAAACAATATACACTGCTTAACATTACTAGCCCTGGGCTGGGAAGGTAGCTCAGTGGTAGAGTGCTTGCCTTGCATGCCTGAGACCCTGGGTTCAATTCCCCTGCACCACATAAGCAGTAAAAGCCGGAAGTGGCACTATGGCTCAAGTGGTAGAGCGCTAGCCTTGAGCTGAAGAGCTGAGGGACAAACAGCCCATGCCCAGAGTTCAAGCTCTACAACTGATTAAAAAAAAATTATTAGCCACATTCTTTTATCAGCAGTCATTGACAAATGAGTAAGCAACTCCCTTTGAGTTCTGGGACTATATCAATAATTTGCTTTTATTTTACTAACTAAAATAAAGAGATATTAGTTACTAGGGTGTTTTTTTTTGTTTTTTTTTTTAATTACTAGGGTGTTACTTTATTTTACTTTATTTTTTGGAATATTCTCCACAACCAGAAAAATCATTTGGCCTAATCTTGTGTTATGGAAAGTGTACTGAAATAATCAATTCAAATTGCTTATGACCTTCTTTATGAGAAAACCACTGGAAACCTCAGGCTCTAGGAGATGGCCGGAGAAAAGAAATAACATACCTGCAAACATCAGCTCCGATACATCAGGTTTGACATGGAGACAAGTGAAAAGAGGCAAAGGACAACGCGCAGCACTGACCTTCTCCTTCAGACTACTCAAAGTAAGGTTCATTCTCTGTCACAGAAGAGCAAAGTGGTTTAGATTACACAAGCAGACACAGATAAAAGCTTCTTTAACATAGCAGTTCCATGAGAGCACATAAAATTTTTGTAATAAAAGTAAGTCATTTTACTTCTAGAAATATCTGGGTACTGAATAAATTTAACAACAACAAAAAAAACCAGAAAGAAAGCTCTATGAAAATAGTTCTTTGCATTTTAAAGGATGCATAACACTAGGGTCTGTGTCCATATTTGAAGTGAAGGATGATTTGGCAATTACAGAGCCTGGAAAATATGTATCCTCTGGAGTTCCTGGAACAGGCTTTTCCCTATCGCCCTTGCTTTATCTTCAAATGAAATGTCACCTTGTGGTTACGTATCAACATGTATTTGTTTCCGGTGATCCATTTCCTTTTCTGACTCCAGGCAACCTTCATTCATCTCTTTTAAAAATATTACTTGTGTTTGTGGGAAACAGATAATCAATTTCCCACCAGGACCTGGCAATCACCCACTCAGCCTCCTGAGTAGCTAGGATGATGGTCCAAAATAACCCAGACAGAAAAGTCCAGGAGACTCCAACTTTAATTAGCCAATGAAATTTCAGGCTGGAAGTATGGCTCAAATGGTAAAGTACCAGTTGTAAGCAAGAGAGCCAAGGGAGAAAGCAAGGTCCTAATAGGGTCAAATCCTGAGAGACATTCTCTCTCTCTCTCTCTCTCTCACAGACACACACACACACACAGACACACACACACACACACACAAACACACGGTTTCATCTCCTCATCTATTCCTCATTCTTGGGGGAAAATGGGAAATAAAAATGTGACTCTTCCAAAGCAAAGGATTATAAAAGCACTTCTCTACACATCCAACTGATGAATAGTTTGAACATACTGATAAGTTCTAGTTTGAATTGTTGAAGAATTATAATGTCTGCTAGGGAGAACATGCTCCACACATACTGTTGAAAACAAGTTGAGCTGAATGACTATCACAAAACATACCACATTTACTTCCACTTGTAACATTATCTACCCATTACCTACCCATTTTAAGAACAATAGGTAGGTGTGGCTTACATTATGAATTAGTGTTTCTCCTATTAGCATCCCAAAGATGTCAGTAAAGGTGACAGGCTGGCCAGAGCTTTTCTTCTTCCATAAAGACTCTACATATCTCTTAATCTTTTGTGGGGTAAGAAGTAAGAGTGGGTTGTGGCTAACATTTTTCATTAGCTCCTCATTAATTTCTTCTGGCCCCTTCTCTGGAAAATCAGGGTGAGAGTACAAAGTTGACATGTACCTGAAAGGCAATCAAAGCAAAATCAATAAAAATGAAGTCAATCACAGAACAGTCTCCAAAGAAAGAAGGCACTTTGTGTCATAACATAAAGGGATGTAATTAAACAATTTATCCCATTAGAAATATTAACCAATTTCAGGAAAGAATCTATCAGTCAGGAATGAGATGGACTATTACAATGGAGACAAAAAAAGAAGAAAAAAAAGAAGAAAAACAACAAAGAGATAGTAATCTAATCTGTCAAGAATGAGTGTCCTAGCCAGGCACCCTTGGCTCACGCCTGTAATTCTAGCTACTCAGGATGCTGAGATCTGAGGATCTCTGTTCAAAGCCAGCTTGGGCAGGAAAGTCCGTGAGACTCTTTATCTCCAATTAACCACTAAAAAACCAGAAGTGGTGCTGTGGCTCAAGTGGTAGACTGCTCACTTTGAGCTGAAGAGCACAGGGAGAGCGCCCAAGCCCAGAGTTCAAGCCCCACAACCGACAAAAAAAAAAAACAATGAGTGTCCTTACCAGACTAAAGATTGGTGACACAAAACTTTTGGTTCACCAAATAAATTAACTGAAAATGTGCTATCCCAACTATTGAGAAAGCTAATTCTTACAAATGATTTTTTTAAATTGTTTATTCACCAACCAGATAAAGTCCCACACCTTGTTTCAGGTAGGTCTCGGAATTTCTCAGCATAAGTCTGAAGCCAAAAATCCAAGAGAAAAATAAGGTCTTTAAACATAGATGATCTACTGAGAAGCCCCTTAACCATCAGACGTTTAGCCACATCTAGTGATGTTGGAAATCAACATATCAACTAGACAGTAAACATTTTATTATCTTTTGGCCTCCCTCCTATGAGCCAAAATCTTTGAATCTTGCATATATATATATATATATATATACATGTATCTATCTATCTATATCTATATATTCTATCACATCATCCAAACAAAAAATAAATAGCCAAAGTTTTAACTCAGATTTCTTCACACTTAAAATTAAAAAGCTCATTATAATAGCTTATCTTCTCATCAGAGTGAGGATAAGCCTAACTCTTACTACAAGTACTGTGTTGGATTGTTGTTCTTAAGCTGTTGTCATGAATATTCAGAGTGGCTTTCAAATCTAACATTTTTAAAGATGAAGGAAGAATGGTCTGTTGTATTTTGATTAAAAGGTGCATATTTCTAATAATCACAGCTATATTTAAAATATCACTTCTCTCTTGGATTTACTTTTTTTCTAAAATTTTGTCTTGTTTATGAAATAAGTTCTTTCTGTGGTAGTTCTATGGTAGTTCACACTTGCCTGGAGCTCAGAATCCTCCTGCCTCAGTCTTATATAGTTATACTAATGAGTCCAAAAAAATGAGAGCCTTTACAAATAACTAGTGAAGCAAGGGGCTTGATTTATTTATCTATGCATTTTTAAGTAGTTGCTTCTAATTTTCAGCATATGTATATAAGGGACCTCATTCTAAGTGCATCTAAATTAAGTTTTTTAAAGTAGAAGAAATTTTAAATTTAGTCTTTATCACTAATTAATTACATTTCATGTTTTAAATATTAGTGTTGCTCCTCAAGGACTGGCCAAATTAAAATCTTCAGAAGTATACTTTCAGAAATTTTGTACTTAAAACTGTGACAAGGTCCCTGGATGCCAGTGGCTCATATCTATAATCCTAGCATCTCAGGAGGCTGAGATCCGAGGGTTTCAGTTCTGAGCCAGCCAGAGGCAGAAAAATCCATGAGAGTCTTATGCTCAGAAAACTGCAAGTGGACCTGTGGCTCAAAGTAGAAGAGTGTTAGCCTTGAGTGGTACAGCTCAAGGGACAGTGACCAGGCCCTGAGTTCAACTCCAATGACAGAGAAAGAAGAAAGAAAGACAGAAAGACAGACAGAACAAAAGAAAGAAAGGAAGAAGGAAGGAAGGAAGGAAGGAAGGAAGGAAGGAAGGAAGGAAGGGAGGAGGGAGGGAGGGAGGGAGGAGAGAGGAAGGAAGGTAACAGAGAGATTTTCATACCCAGATAAGACTCAGTATGACTTGAAAAGATCTACTACACTGTTCCAGAATTCTTTATACTATTCAATTAAAAATTCTCATCCTCAAATTTTATTTTAACCAATACAGTATAATGGGCTCTACTGTGGATAGCTATAGAAATAATGTCATTTCTCTTTAGATAGTAACATGATGTAAATATGACACTTCAATGATACAAGCTTGCTAAGATAGTTGTGCTAAAACTAGGAGAACACAGAATTATTATTAAGATTCCACTATGTACTCATGCCAAGCCTCCAAATCAGCTAATACTGTATTTAATGAATCACATCCATCACACAAAAATAATTTCAGAAATAATTACCATAAATGTAGCTGGAGTTATAAGAGAAGCTTTGTTCTACCTAAAATTCTCTTTTGTGATCACAGACAACTCCCTGGGAGGCCCAAGACTTCTCCAGGTATTTCCGTATTACCTCATTAATGCCAAATCATGGTCATGTATCTGCAGAATATAAACATTTACACAACACAGAAGTGTAATTTGTTTTTTCAAGTGTTTCCGAATTCCTTCCTTTGAACTTTTTTTACTTTCTCATCTATCATTGTCCAGAGAAAATGAATCACATTAACATGAATTAACATGAATCACCTGAAAGTGTGATTTCTTGGTCTACGGAAGGGTGTCTGTATGGTCAACACTTCCATCTGTCCTGTCTATATTCTATTCTGTTTCTTCCTCCATCTCTATCTGTAATGTTTTTCGTGTCTTGCCTTCCATCTGGACTACTGCCCTCCTGTGTTCTATTTCTTTTTGCATCAGACTTCTGTAGAAATACTCAAGTCTCTTGGGTTCTGAAAACAAAACTCATAAAATTCCATCCCTGAGCTCTGGATTCTCTTCAAATGATGCCTGCTCATTTCTTTCCTTTTTGATCACCCTGCTTAAGACAACTGATGAGTCTTACAAGGTACAACTTTCACCTTTTGCAATTCTGCTTTCTATTCATTTTTTTCCTTTGTAAACTCATGATCAAAAGTAACTTTTTTGACATATGAGGGACTCTTGATTGAACCTATTCTTAAAATACATATTGCTTCTCAGTGTCCACTCCACCCTGAACTTTCTTTTTTAAAGGCTTCTTCTTTGTAGAACTTACTAGGATGCCCTCTCTTTTGTCCAATACGTTTGAGGATTCTTGGGGTTCCACAAATTCAATCATTGGTTATAATAATTGAAGTGGTAAGAGCTGGTGGAGTTAGGAAGGAGTTTTATGTAGATAAAATAAAGCACAATGAAAGTTCTGAAGAAAAGCTGGTATTAAAAGTTGTGGAAGAAAGAGATAGCGCAGAGGAAAGAGCTATGAAAATAAACAATCAAGGCATGACAGGCAAACTTGAAAGGAGAAAATGGTATGCAACATGGCTTAGGAACATCAAAAAATAGCATTAGCTGGGCACCAGTGGCTCATTCCAGTAATCCTAGATATTCAGGAGGCTGAGATTTGAGGATTACGGTTCAAAGTCAGCCCAGGCAGGAAAGTCTGTGAGACTCTTATCTCAAATTAACTACCAGAAAACCAGAAGTGGTGCTCTGGCTCAGGTGGTAAAGCACTCACCTTGAGCTGAAGAGCTCAGAGACAGTGGCTAAGCCCAGAATTCAAGCCCCAGGAATGACAAAAGAATAACAATAACAACAACATATGGAAATTAAGCAGCCCTTAGGTAAAAAAAATCTATCCTAAAAATGTAAGGAGTGAGTGACCTATAAGGGAAATGCAATAAAAAATTTAAGGAGTAGCTTTGAAAAATGGAGAAATTATGTATATTTAAAAGTGTTTGCACATTAAAGTGTCTCATGATTTCATTGATCTGGATTTGTTTTCAGACCCATAAGAGGAGAATGTAAGATAGTGCCCCAAATCTCTAATCAAAGCAATGACTCCAACTCTACTTCATGCTACCTATTCAGTTGCATCCCCAAATCAGCACTGGTGGCCAAGACCTGTATTAGATGAGTTTAAGTAGTAAGCTTCTTTCAATATATGAATGGCAGGTGGACAACAGAAACCTAGCACATGCAGACAAAACCACCCAAAGCATAATAACAAAATGATTAAGTAGGAGATTTCATACAAGGGTCCAAGTTTTTCACACCATTACTCATTGAACAGGCAGATGCCTGCTCTTACCTTCAAGGGAAGAAATAACGATGGCTACACCCATCTTTCAGAAGACATAAATCACTTTACATGGACAGAAGAGGTGGCAACCATGGCACTAAGTTATTGGTTGTTGACCACAGAATCTGGCTCAAAACATACAACTGTAGCCTACTTAACTGTAAAACTCTCTACAGAACATTCAACTGTGGTTTAGTAGAAAGAATGCTAAGATATGAACTTGATAGCCTGATTTACACCCTGCACCTGCTCATTTTCATGAACAAATCACTTGGCTTGTGAGTCAAATCTTTAACTGAAAAATTCATAAACTCATACCCATCTCTCAGAATGAAATGACACGAACACTTTAAAAGGTTAAACACAGAAAACATCTTAGAATATGTGAAATTTGTTATGGCTGAATGACTAAAATGGCTTGAAAGTCAGGCTTAGTTAGATACTCTGCAATAAAGTAATAGTCTCATTTGAGGCATCTGGGCAAGAACCTTTATTTGACTTTCAATCAGCCTATGTCAGCTAGGCACACCAAAAAAGTATGTAGCATCATCTTGGAAAATTCCTTCTAGCACATTCATCAAATGGCAAATCTACAGGGCACACATACCATACTTGTAGATGCTCTAATTCTCCATCTAAATTTAGCTGACCTTAAACACCATTGAAGCACTAATTTCACATGTAGGTAAAGACCAATCAACAAAGCTTGTTCCATCTCTGCTTTCAATGGCTGTCTTTCTCCTTCTGGATACTATAGTAACTACATTTCATTCTATTTGCCCTAAAGAAGATGAATACCTAGTGAATCACCTAGACATGCTCACTGAAGGACTACAAATCATCAAATTATAGGAAGATTAAATTAATGATGGGTGGAGTATGTTACTCCACTTTTGTGATATTTATCTAGAACTACTTTCAATAGGAGTTCTTTCTAATTTATGTTTTAACTACATTTTCAGTTACAAACATGTTGAAAAGGAGTAAATTTATGGTCAAAGTCATGATTAAGCATGTATTTGTCTTAATAGAAAAACTTATTTAGGCCATTTGTGGCATTACATTGGCACTTTTCAACAAGCTGATGTCAATGTTCCATTTCTTTAAAACCTCTTTGCTTATAATGTTTGAATTAAGCATATTCAAACCTTTACCAGGATCAAAGTAAAATTTAAAAATGCATGCCTACTAACCATGTGGAGCCAGAAAGACCTGCAATGTAGGTAGCACAGTCCAAAATTCCAGATTCGTACAGGGCCTTCATCACACCAGAGAAGCCCACCATGGCCCGGAAACCCCCACCTGAGCCCAGTATGGCCACCACAGGTACCTGGAAAGATGCAACACAGACACTTACACCAAGCATAAGCATAAAACAGACTTCCTTTTAATCTCATTCTTATGTTAAATAGCCTGCATTTTTAGCACAAAGAAATATTCATTGCTTCATATTTGTTGGTGGTTTATTTTCTAAAAGAAAAAAAATAATGTCACATATAACAAAATCAAGATCAAGTTCAACCAGTCATAATGAAAATGTCCCAACTAATATAACTATAACAACAACAATAATATTAATAGTAAGACCATATCTCTTCAACCCTTTACAGTTTCTGGTTTGTGTTAAATTGCAATGTTTTATTTGATTCCCTTAGAAATCCTGTGAGGTGAGCAGGAGAGGAATATTTGTACATTTTCTAGATGCCATCCTGAAAGGATGCTATTGTGTGAGATCTGACAGGTAGTAATCTGCAGCTGAGTAAAAAGCATACTTGCAGCTTAATTTATGGGGAGAGTCTTTAACATTCGCTGATGGCTCTGCTACCTGGGAATGGAAGAGAGGAAGAAGCGTGGTTATCTTGTTTGGAATTCCAGCTTTGCTCATGAGTAGATGTACCTGAACTACCCAGAGCACAAAGCTATGTTTAGGAAAAAGTATAGGTAAATGTTGGAACCCCTGAATAGTATGAATACATTATGTTTCAAGTACTTAGAAAGTGAACCCTCAGTGACTACTTAAAAACATCAAATTATTATTTTACAATTATAAGGACTTACACAATTATGTAACTGTTAAATATATAAAGAGAAGTATGTAGAGGTTAGATCTTCTTAGAATTAGTTAGGCTGGTGCGTAGTAGGGTATTTGGAACTGAATTCCTGGTCAGAGGTTTTTTGTTTTTGCTTTAATTTTTTGTTTAAAACATTATCTTCAAGTAGTTGTACAAAGGGGTTTCAATTCAATCCAGAGCAATTTACTAACTCTAACTGGTGTCAGATGAAGATCCTTAATATCAATCTAGATAGAAAGTGAAGATGTCCTAACTGGAGAAGGGATTATCAGTCCAGTAATGAGGTAAGTTAAGTGAATCTGAACGTGTATAGAAGGAGATAAACGCAGTGCTCTCAAAGATACATTTTAAAACTGGAATAAAGTAAAACATAAAAACTCTTTAAAGCACATGGGAGAAATACACTTAATATAGAAAACTGAGGTGAATCATAAAGTAAATGACTGGGGTACAATATAGCATTAATTCTAGCAGTAGTTGTGAGGAAGCTACATGAGACTGGGGATTTGAATTAGGGCATGAAAAACTATTGCATTTATGGGGAATATTATAATAATGATTTGTGATTAAAAATGGTAAAGTTATCATTGCTGTAAGTTCAGCCTATGGTTTGGGTCAGGCTAAGATAAGCATAAGCAGGAAAGGTATACGATTTGGTGGACAGATATCAGTCATATTACTGCAGCAGATTACACAGGGACTGAGGAAAAATAGGATCATGAAAGAGTTTATGACAAATAAAATTTTTGGTTTGAAATTTAAGAGGAACATTTTCTTGGGATGTTTTCTTAGGAAATGATGCATTATACTATTATACCATTTTATTTCTATTTATACTAGTCTATTATACTATTTTCTACTGTTTGCTTATTTATTTTGTTTGCTTTTGTGCTAGTGAGCATTGAACCCAGCCTACTGCCCACGCTAGGCAAGCTCTCTCTCATTTTGCCTATGTCTCCAATCCCATCCTCCTTTACAAAACTTTCATGTTTGAGTCAGGGTCCTATTACATTGTTGCCCAACCTGGTTCGAATTAAATAATACTTCTGACTCCTGAGTAGCTGGGGTAACAGGCATAACATAACAGGCATGGACTACTCTAGCTATTGCAAAAAAATAATTATGTAAAACAATGAGTCCAATAGAAATCAGGCAATCTAAAGTGAGTATTAAAAGTTACCAGTCACAGATTACACCATTCATTTGGACAAGCAACATATAGCCTGCACTGTTGCTCAGCCTTTTTCATATGCTCATAACTTAACACATTCTTGAAGATGTTTATTTTAGGTTGTTTAGAATATTCTAGAAATGACCTCTTCACTGAAATTTATAGGTAAGGTAAGTCATTGTTCTCATTACTGGTTTAAAGTAATTAATAGTGATAATTTTCAGTTAATTTTTTTCATTCAGATATATGCATTACTACCAGGTGAAAGAAAATGCCAGATATTTGTAGACAAAAACTAATTAGTCACATAATTGACTGCATATTATAGGTACAGTCATTTGCTATGAGTCTGTTTTCATACACATTTACTTTTCATAGATCTACAGACACATACTATTTTCCCTTTGTAAAGATAATACAACTGAGGCACAAATAGTTTTTCCAGTGTTACAGAATTGGAAAGTGTTTTCTTGATTTGTAGGTCTTTCAGATCTATTATTTCACTGTTTTTCACTATGACTTGGAAAATAAATATCCCTGCTTTCTCCCAACCCAGGGCTGTGCCCTGAGACAAAGCAATCCTCTGTAGTCTCAGTTTACTTGTATGTAAAAATATTGGGCAGAAGTAATGATCTTGAAGCTTTACACAACTGTTAACATTTCATATTCCATCATTCATACAGAAATACCAACTAAAATAATCAAATTATAAATTTTTATAAACTGGAAACTAGAAAGGGAAATGAGACATATTAAGAATATCATTGGGCTGAGAAGGTGGCTCAGTGGTAGAGCGCTTGCCTTGCATGCATGAGGCCCTGGGTTCGATTCCTTAGCACCATATAAGCAAAAAGAAGAAAAAAGCCGGAAGTGGCGCTGTGGCTCAAAGTGGTAGAGCGCTAGCCTTGAGCTGAAGATCTGAGGACAGTGCCCAGGCCCAGGGTTCAGGCCCCATGACCGGACCCCTCCCCACCCCCCAAAAAAGAATATCCTTGTATGCTGGCACTCTCAGGGATACTTTGGCACAATCTGGCTTTAATATCCCCTGATTCCAGAAGGAGACCACTTCCATTCTTCCAAAGAGGTTAATTGTCCATAATAAATGGTCCAGACAAGTCACTAATAAATACTAAACCAAACTGAATTTGAACAGAGATATGACTTTGTCCTCTCTGTTTCTGCAAAGGAAGAATGAAGAGATATTCTTTGTCCTCTCTGTTTCTGCAAAGGAAGAATGAAGAGTCTCCATTGAGAGAAATCATATAGCTTAACCACATTTTAAACTTATGTGTGACTTCAAATAATGTTTTCATACTTTTGTGCAATAAATGAAGGCTAACTTTGTATGTTTCACTCATCTTGATCATTCTGGAAGAGCATTTAAAGAAGTAATGGTAATGCTATAAGGAGAAACTGTTAATACTTGCTGTTATTCTAAAAGAATCTAATAAAGATGTGTAGGTAAAAAGGGTTGGTTATATTTAGCCCTAGTGTTTATATGTAACTGAGGTCAGCAAAATATTTCTGATGTTTTTCTTATATGACTATAGAAAGTGAATTTTCATTTCCCCCAAACCATGTGTTTTGATTAAATTTGTCTGGTCAGATACATATGTTACAGATATTATTAATTTCCTTGCTGGCAGTAGAAAATATTTCAGTGCTCAAGGATTTTGGACATTTTCATAGATCTTTAAGATCTTACAATTATAAAAAGGGAATTTTTCAATCATGCTATTCAATATACATTATGTAGAAAAATGATCTAAGTATCTTGTGGGCAGGGATAGGAGGGGAAAACTGAGGGAAAGCAAAGGAAGTGTTGACCTTGTCAAAGGAGAAATGTACTCATTACCTGACTTGTGAAATTGTAATCTGTCTGCATCATACTTTAATAAAATAAAATACCTTATTTTTTAAAAAGGACATTTTCCTTGGCCCCTATGTTAGAGTTTTCAAAGAAAAAGAACTAGTAAGATTCATACATTTACAGAAATACATATCTTGTAATGAATTACTTCCTGCAATTAGAAGGACTGGCAAATCCAAATCTGTAGTATTGATAGCAAGTCCAGAACCAGTAGAGCTGATGGCATAGATGAAGTTAGAAGGAAGTCATGGACTCTTCCTTTTGGCTCAAAAAGCCTAATCTTTCTGTTCTATCCGGCCTCCAAAGGCTTGGATGAGTGAGGTGGACCCACATTGCTTACGTACACATCAACAATGGCAGCAAATCGCCACTCCTCAACATGCCTCTCCTCTTGGTTCTGAGATACACGTATACGCTAGCATTCTTCTCTCTAAACCTGACAACTTCACATGCTCAGCAGCCAAAGGATTTGAGGCCATCAAAGCACCCTACTGACTAGACTCTGGGTCTCTTGGGCATCTACTATCTAGATTGCTTTCAAGCTGTTACATTCCTAGGCTTTATACTGTATTACGACCTCAGGTAAGAAAACCCAGCTTTACCTCTAAAGCCCGGAAACCTTGCCATTTGGAGATGACACACATTCAGTTTACCTTCCCACACTGCTTTTACTCCAGCGTTTACAGTAGATAAGGAAAATAAGAAATGATGATATGAAGTGCCATTGTTGGTATGAAGATGAAACTAAAAAGGATATTTTAAAAGAATAATCATTCCTAAAGACAATTCAAGGTTGACTCTATTACCTCCTGAAACTCTTTTGTGCCAGGAAGTGGCAGCTTACACCTATAATCCTAGCTACTCAGGAGGCTGAGATTTGAGGATCATGATTTGAAGACAGCCTGGGCAAGAAAGTCTATGAGAATCATCTCTAATTAACCACTAAAAAGGCAGAAAGTGAAGCTGTGGCTCAAGTGGTAGAGTCCTAGCCTTGAGCAGAAAAAACTAAGGAACAATGCCTAGGCCCTGAGGACAAGAAGAAAGAAGGAGAAAAGGAGGGGAGGGGGAGAAAAAAGAGGTAAGGGAAGGGAAAAGAGGAGAAAAGGAGGGAAGGGAAAGGAAAAAAGGGCAAAGAAAATGAAAAAAAAGACCTGTTTTGCTTGGCCTAACTGTCCCTGACAAACCCTATTTTCTTCTCTCTATTCTTCTGCTTAATTGCATTGCAAATATGAGTAGATAACAGCATCCAGCGAACATGTGAGGGAACACTTTTCACTCTCTTTGTATCCAAAGCTATGTTGTCTTTATATTTGTTCTTCAAGAGAACTATTTTCTCGGTTATACTCTGTTGAAAGTTGGATCTTTTCATTCTCTTATTTTCCTAGCATCTCTAATTCCGTATTTCAGGCCCTGATCAACTTTGTTCTATTATTATACCCTGTTTAATAACATTTCTCCTCACATAAGAGGCCATATTCTGGAAACTTCATTTGATCAAAACTATTATAGAACAAGAAAATGAATAAAAGATGTCCTTCAAGCTATCACAATAACTCAGAAATTCCTGTACACAGTCTTCTAGCCTTGTTCATGGGGGACGTTCTCAGTCCTTTACTCAAGGAGAAATAACTCAAATGAGAGACACTGTTCTAATAACAAGCTTATTATCAGATCTGAATGCCACAGTAACAATGAAAGAGAGAGGAAAAGTTTGAAGAAATCCTTCCAACTCAACACATAGAGCATGGAAATATGACAGCTGATTGCAATGGAGCAAAGTAAGAGTAGCTTACTCAGTTTAATCTGAACACTTTCATCAAAATGATTTCAAACAATAGATTCCTTAAAGTTTTATTATGTAGAAGGAAAAAAATCTTGAGCTATAAAATTATAAGAAATTAACACTATATATGAGAAGATCTTGGGAAGAACTAAATAACTGATATCCTAGGATTTCTAGAAGGGGGATCATGGTCTTTCTCTGACAGAAAAGGAAACTCTCTCCATGGAGTTAGGAGGAAATTTATAAATCATAGGTTATGGAAGGTTCCTGTCCTTAGGCAAGAAATGAAAAACAGGTCATCTCTTGGCTTTTCATTTTCCTTGGATTAGGACACAAGCCAACAAGAGGACACTTGCAAATTGCTGTGAATATTTAGATAGCAACTGGGCATAGAATCCCTACAGTGATAAGAAGAATCGCGGCCCAAGGTAAGACAAGGCAACAAAAGTTATTAAGATCTAAACTCAATCAATAAGCCCAGCCTTGAGGTGTATGTTTGTGATCCTAGCAGCAATACCGAAGGCTATGGATAGGTTCACATTTTGAGGCTTGCTTTGGAAAAGATTCAATAAATAACTAAATAAAGGAGTGGATATTTGAATGAAGTAGTAGACTATGTGCCTAGCAAATAGAAGACCCAGAGTTCCAACCCCAATACCTCAAAAATAATATTAAATAATGACCTGAAAACTCTGGTGTATTTATACAATGTTAAAAAGAAATGAGTGAGTTATGAGGCCACAAAAAACATAAAAGATTTAATCACATTACTATTAAGTGGAACAAAACAATCTACAAAGCTACATTCTCACTGATTACAGTGATGCAACATACTAAGAAAGATAAGACTATGGAAATAAAAAGATTAGAGGTCACCAGGAATTAAGTGAACAGAAGGTATTAACAGGTAGAACACAGAAGACTGTTGTGGCAGAGTAAAAACAGTCTGAATGTTACTGTAATGATCAATATAGGTAATTATACATTCATCAACATCCATGGAATATACACCATCAGTTACAAACACTGAACTGTGTAAACTGTGAGCTTTGGGTGTGAATATGCAAGTCTAGTTTCATTGATTTTAACATATATACTACTCTGGTATAGACAGGTGAGAACACAAGAAGGCTATCATGATTAATTTTCCTGGACTAAAGGATAGACAGACAGATGGACAGATAGATAAGAAAATATTATTTGTGAATTTGTCTATGAGGTTATGTTCCCATGCAAAAAGATTAACATGTGATTCAGTAGACTCAGTAAATGAGTATCTACTCACCAATGTAAACAGTCACCTCAGTCCTGAGGATATAATGGTAGAAGAGAGATGAGTTTTCTCTATTTCTTCAAGTTTAATCATCCGTGTCCCCTGACATCTATGATCCTGAGTCTCAGTCCTTGAAACTCTAAAGCATAACACCAACTTTTCTCCTTCCCATCAATGTCCAGTCCTAAGGCTTTGAAGCCATAAACTGGTAGTTAAACCATCTGATCCTCTGTTTCTCAGACTTTGAAACTTTGAGACATAATACCAACTCTTCTTTCCAACCATACCCAGTCTTTGAATCCATAGTCTTAGACCTGTAGTTATATCATTTTATCCTCTGGTTCTCAAGCCTTTGATTTCACACAGAAATATATCACCATCATTCCTGAGTATCCAACTTACACACAGCAGATCTTTCAACTTCTCAGTCTCCATAATGATATGAGGTAATCCTCATAATGAATCACACACATCTACCAATATTTGTTTCTTTGCATAATTCTCATTAATACTGGAAGGCTGTGTATGTGTGGAAGTGGGATGTATTGTGAGGACTGTCTGTACTTTCTGCTCACTTTTTCTGTAACCCTAGATTCAAAAACAAGAATAAACCTGGGAGAGAGCAAAGAAAGAGGTAACCCTGTCCAAAAGAAATGTACTCATTACCTGACATGTATAACTGTAACCCCTCTGTACATCACCTTTAGAATTACAAGTTAGATAAAAAATGTAATCAATACCTTACTATGTAAATATAACCCCTCTGTACATCACCTTGACAATAAAATTAAAATGAAAAATTAAAAACCACAAAGTTTTCAAAAAAGTCAAAGTAAAAATCAATACAATCTATAAATATTACCAAACATATTCTTAATGCAGGTTTACCTTCCTCAAAGAGCTTGTTTTCTAAACACTTACCAATAAATTGAATAAGTAGTGTTCAATCCCAATGTGGGATTATTTTTGGAGAAAGTAGTTAAGCATTTTTAAACTGTAATTTGAAAAAAAAGTCCAACTCACATCACGTGTGGAGTACAATGCTTCACTATCCTTTGGGCCCAAGAGTTTCTTCATGTTTTCCTTTATGACCTCTTTCCTCTGTTGTCTGAAAATTTTCTCCTGATCACACAGAGCCATACTGAATCGTAGGTCTGGGCATGAGCTGTGATGCAAAATAGGGAAATCCATAAGCCCAGCCCAGGTACCCAATAGCCTTGTTTTCTGTTTTGTGTTTTTTGCTTTTTTTTTTTTATTTTTTTTGTCGGTCATGGGGCCTGAACTCTGGGCGCTTGTCTGTCAGCTCTTCAGCTCAAAGCTAGCACTCTACCACTCGAAACACAGCACCACTTCTGGCTTTTTCTGCTTATGTGGTGCTGAGGAATTGAATCCAGGGCCTCATGCATGCAAGGCAAGCACTCTAACACTGAGCCACCTTCCCAGCCCCCAATAGCCTTGTTTTACATCTTCCCAACCCCACAAACTCTTAGTTATGGGAATATGTACTGATGGCTTTCCTAAAGCGAGGTTCCAGCAAGAAGCTTCAGCATAGAGACTGATGGCTGAATTAAAGAATCATTTGCCATCTGCCATAGCAAGTTTTCTGAAGAAAGGAGAAAAAGCAATCTATGGTGTTTAAAGGGGGGAGTACAAACAGCCCCTAATAAATTGTGCATTAGGACAACAAAGACCTCAAGAAGTGTATCAGTACAGAAACCTTGGCACAGTGAGTGTTTCCCTAACTGAATTGATGAAGAATTCTTTACCATGTCCATGGATCCCTCATCTATTCCTTATAACATCCACTAACATCCCAGAGTTTGAGTTTTGAGAAATCCATGCAGGAACATTGTCTTATGTGCACCCCCTTTGATAAAACAAAAAGAGAGCTCTAATAGGTGAACTTGAGATAACCCAATTAAATGTAATAGTTAAAGGGTTTTTAATTTTGAGTACTCTTCCTCTTCTTTACTAAAAATGACAGTAAAGATTTCTCTGAAATATATACATGCTTTAAAACATTAGCTATGACAATGATGAGAGAAAAACATTACAATTGCTGTATATTCTAGCTATGTGAAATAGAAAATTGAAGACCTGATAGGTTAGGATTGTTCAGTAAATATACAATAACTTTCTACAGGAAGTAAAGCTCACAAATGAGTCTTGTTCTAACACCAAACCCTGAACAAAGAAAGAAGAAGAAGGGTGAACAACCTATACTTTCAATGGGAATAAATCCAAAATGTGGAAGTACAATAGCACTAATAAAGTATTGTCTCCTTACCATTCAAAAATATAAGTCCTTTCTTTCAATAAAGTTCATTTGTCTCATTTTTGTTACTTAAATATTTCTTTGTAATAATAAATAGAATAAAAGGAGAGACTATAAAACTATGGGCTATCTTGCTATAGCAATGTAAGTTCATTACTTTTCCCTTTGATAAAGAAATTTGAAATAAGGGCTTTGCATTTGCCCTGATTGCTTGCTCAGCTAGTGGTTTACACTTGAGTCAATTTCCAGACCAACTTTTTGCTAGTTATTTTGGAGATGAAGTTTCCAGAGCTTTTATGCTTCAGCTGTATAAATATATACATAATATAAATTTGTATATATTTGTATATGTGCATAACATGTATTCGTTTTTACCTATGTAGTCAAAATCCACACTATATATTCAATGCTGAATTTATTCAAAACTGACTAAATTATTTCACACGCCAAGGTACTCACATTATTTTCTATCAAAGTGAATAAATGAACTTACCAAACTTCAAGTGACATTTCCAGAATCATTTCTGTGACCTATAAAGCAAGAGATTAATCATATTAGATAATAAAATGCACTTATCTATACATTGTCAAATCAAAGTATATTCTGAGTACTGGATTATCCTTAACCTAAAAACAAAGTAGGAAACAAGTAAGAAAGTTCCATGAAGAAGCTAAACTATACGGATTTCAATATATATTTATTTTTATAGTAGTTTATTTAATAAGTCACTTTAGCACACATTCAAATTTCTCTGTGTAATTACTTTCCTCCCTTATGGCAATGAAGTTCAGTTCTACAACTGATACTTACAAAACATAAAAAGTGACTGAAATATGTAGTAAAGTATACTAATGTTGAGTCTATTGCTCAAGAGCCATAATAGCCAAACCATCATTTTTAAACCCAAGTTACACATGTACATTTGTGAAAGAGGACTATATTAAGTTGAACCAGGAGCACTTACCCACAGTAAGCAGCAAAATTTATCTATTAATGAGATGTAGGACTCATGTTTTCATTTTTCCAATACTACTTGAACCAACCAAATAGATCAGAAGACTGCTTTCTATCAATTAAATAATTTTTGTTTAATAAAAAAGACTGGTACAGTGGCTCATATTCCTAGCTAATCAGGAGGCTTGAGGTTGGGAGGATTTCTGCTCTAAGACTTCCCAGGAAAAAGTGTGTATTATCTCCCATATTAATCAAGAAAATGTTGGCACAGTGGTGCATCTGTCATGTTAGCTACACAAGGGTGAAGTCCTGGCCTAGGCTGGCCTAGGCAAAAAGTGAGATACTATTTGGAAAAATAAAAAAAGCAAAAGAACTCTATGTTCAAGGGTCTAGTGATAGAACATGAACAGGAGGCTTTGAATTTAAAAAGAAAAAAATGATGACAGAATAGATAGACATTACTAATTTTTTGGTGGTACTTGGATTAGAATTCAGGACCCAACATTTTCTCTGTAGCGTAAGGTGTATCTAGCCCTTTCTTTAGCTTCAATCATTTTTCAGGAAGTTCTTGCTTTTACCTGGGGCTTGCCTCAGACTGTGGACTTTCTATTCACCTATGCCTTGCTTGTAGTCAGGATTTCATGTATATACCACCACACTTGTTTTATTTCTTGCAATGGGGTCTTGCTAACTTTTCTTCCTTAGGCTGGCCTTGAACCAACATCCTTCTAATATCTACCTATTGTATAACTAGAAATACAGGTGTGAGCTGTGGCACCTAACTTACATATTACTTTTAAATTAGTAAAACAATAAAAATTCTAAGTCAAATGGATTTATAGACCCTCAGATAGATTGTAAGTCCTTACATGTCAAGAGAGATGGGTTACAACATATTTGGTACAATTACTATCTATCTTATGAATGGAAGGAGTACTGGAACCACATTCTGGTATGTCATATTCCCCACTTCCATATTTCATATGGAGTCTTTCCCAAACATAGCCTGACAAACATTTCATTTTGTATGAATTTACTGTCACAATTTAATGAGAAAAGCAGGATGGGTAAAACATATTCTGTGTTGTAATTTAGTTTTATTTTAAAGAAATACATGAAAATTACCATTAAATAAAAGAGACCAGACTTAATGATTTATCACCAGTAGACAAAGCCACCATGGGGAAGGAGATATAAAATAAGAAGTATTGTTAACTCCATGTAAATTTTTTCAGTAATAGTAACTTTCAAAGTTGGAAGGGGCTTCCTGTTCCTATGTGCCATCTCATGACAGTAAGAGATCAAGAAAAAGTCCATTTCATAATTACTAGGTCTCTAAGCAATTTATATATAAACATTCAATGCCTACTTGTCCTCACACCTAATAAATATATGTAAAAGTTAGGTCTAAATTGTATATGTATATATGAAAGTACATGTATATATATACATACATACACATACATAAATGTGCACATAGATATATGTAAACTAAAATATATGCAGGAGAGAATTCCAATGATATAGTTCCTTTGAATAAAGAACAACTATCAGTTTAGCAAAATAAATAACAGGAAGCTGGAACCTGTGCTGTTGATAGGATGGGGTAAGGTCAAGGGGAAAGAAGATAGATGAATAGAGAAAGAAATGGTGGGAAAACATGATGATAATATTCAATGAGTATCTGTGAAAATGGGCCAGAGAAAATTGAAGAGATGGATGGAGTTCACAAAAACAGAGAACACCAGGAGGGACATTGATAAAGTCACATTTTAGTTATGAAACTTATAGGTTGAGTTGAAACTCTATAGCGAAAGATAATAAGAAAAAATAGCAATAACAATAAAAATGAAATTGTGAAAGCAAAATTAACTATGCCATGATGACAATCACATTTGTGTTCATATATGAATTTCATTTTTATATTCATCAAGGACATTTTCTTTTGGCTAAGACATTTGGGAGCATGGAATGGCTAAGCAAGACTCTAAATTCAAAGTGGGATAAGAAATAGAAGACAGTATGCGTCTGTCATTTTGAATGTTACAGGAAATATTGCCATAGAGTTCTCTTTTTGACTTATTAAAAAATTTATCATCATGGTGATATACAGAGGGGTTTCAGTTACATAAATAGGTAATGAGTACATTTCTTGTCAACCTTGTTACCTCTTCCCTCAATTTCCTTGTACTTTCCCCCTAACTCCTCCCCCTGTTGGACAGATCATTTCCAACATATTGACTTGTGTATAAAGCTGTTGCATTGGTTCCCCTCTGTCCTTTGTCTTACCATTCTATTGTTCTCCTTCCCTTCCCCAATTCAAATAAACATATATACAATACCAGAGTACCAAAATCAAATACAGTAACAACAGAGGATATACCATCGGGGAAAGAACATACAAAAGAATCAAAAAAAAATCACATAGTACATTAAAAACAACAACAAAGAAAAACCTCTTTTGTCCATGTCTTGGAGTGCCATGCTGCTCTTAACAAGAATTAGATCCTCATTCATGTTATCCAAGTGGGCCACAAATATCTAGAGACATTTTGAACTTCCCATTCCCCTAACACACTATATATAGACATGTTAAGAAACTTGACACTCACAATCTCTCTATATCTTTTACCTGGACCATGTCATTCAAGGAAAAGCTATTCACTTCCAATGAGGCATTGAACAAGTACTGTCAGCTAGCTTCTTCCCACACCCTGTGCAGTGTATGGCATGCTTCCAATAGTCTGCAGAATCAGGGCAGTTAGGAAGAAGAGTGACCAGCTCTCCCAGGCTCTTCTCAACCCCACACAGTTCAGCAAGGAGCCAGAAAAATTAGAACACTCACCTCTTTTGGGAATTAGAAACATATGCTATATGCATTACATATTTTTGAGAAAACCAAAATTTTCTTTGCATTTCATAGGGAAAAGAAGTTACCATTATCTTTACTCCAAATTTTCTTTGTAAGCCAAGGATTATTTTTACTCAAATTTGGTCTCTATCCTATATGAATGGGTACTTCCACATTTTAGCTAAATATAGCACTTTTTCCATAAAGTTTTATCTTTGGTTTCTCGTGGAGTTATTGACAAACCTTAATGTCAACTACTTGTAGAAAACTAAAGCTAGATCCTAATATATCACACTGTACCAGAATCAACTCCAAATGGATCAAAGACCTCAGAGTCAAAGCAGACACTCTGAAAACATTACAGGGTGGAATAGAAGAAACCCTAGGTCTCCTTGGCACAGGCCTAAATTTTCTTAATAAAGACACAGAAACACAACAAATCAAAAAAAGTTGGACAAATGGGACTGCATAAAATTGCAGAGCTTCTGTATGGCAAAGGATATAGCTCACAAAATCAATAGAAAGCCCATGGATTATGAGAAGATCTTCACTAGCCATACAACAGACAAGGGTCTCATATCTAAAATATACCTGGAACTCAAAAAATTAAATCCCACAACAACA